TATACATAACTGTATAAGCTCGAATCGCTACGATGTATCATCATTGACGTGTGTAGCGCCCATAATTTTATCATAGAACTAGCTGACCAGGAAGACTTCGTAGTGCCTCAAACATAAAATAAAAGGCCTAAGCGTTATCCGTCCGATGGGGGACACATCAAAGGAAAAACAAAATTGTTATTTTTATTAAATTTCGAGCATTTTCATATTTATCTACCTTTTAAACCTTCTCTGGACTTCCACAAATAATTTAAGACCAAACTTAGCCAAATCGGTCCAGCCGTTCTCGAGTTTTAGCGAGACTAACGAACAGCGATTCATTTTTATATATATAGATAGATAGATAATATGTTTTTTTAAGCAAATGAAACATCATATCTATTTATCAAAGACGATCACAAAGGCATGATAACCGGATCTTTTTAAATGGGTTAATTCCAAAATAACAATTTAATCAGACATAAACAAATTTAGAATCAAGAATTACGTAAGAACGATTCACTGTTTATACTAAGGTATAAACTGGTTCCGCATTACCATTTCGCAGTTCGCACGGTTTTTAATTAAAAAACAAAATAACTGTTTGTTTGTGGAAACATCCACGATGGAAGTAATGAATTGTATACTAAAACTTTTTTGTAAAATTTTCAGTTAAATTCTTTGTGTTTTTTTAATAAAACTTTATTTCAACTGAGTTAAAATATTGGGCACAATTTTTTTATGTTAATTTTTAAGCTCAAATTAATTTATATTAAAAATCTCAAAATTAATTTTAAATAATTTATAATTAAACTGGGCCTGCAGTGCGCTGCGGTAAGCGCACTAATGCCATCTACTGACCTTTTATGAACAATTTAAACAGCATTATCGCATTTACTGATGGGTAGTGCCATCTGTTGAATATTTTGAAAAACCATTTTCTATTCTTGAGGACATACATGAAACCTTACTGAGAAATTGTTTCACTGTCACAGATGGCGTTTCTATCGCTACAATTCTGTCTCCCAGAAAATACGTTTAGCCAACAGCCACTTTTTTTTTCCACCTATGCTTATATCCTTGAGAGGCTATTTCAGCTTCGCCCTAACGTGTAGGTGAGCTCACGGGGCCCAAACTTGGAGTGTCGCTAACACTGGCCCTAGCAAGAGCAGCAAAATCTACCACCGGATAAGAAACGCGACCCACTGAGAAGATCCGGCGAGTAACTCAGTGGGCTGTGTCTAATTTTGTGTGGGTTAATTTACTCGTCGAGCCCTTCGTCGCATGCGACGGGTTCGGCGAAGACGGTGACTGGGAGCTACTAATATGATGTGATCGTATTGAGTTGCGCGTACAAAAAATTTCTTACTTACAACACAAATATATTGAACACGACGCGACGTAACGTCCCTATTTCGTATAATTTGATTTGACATACATTTTATAGTAGATACTTAGTGTCAAAACGGGTGGCCTGTCGTCTTAAATATTAAGTGTATTAATTAAGGCGTTAAGGAATTGCTGGCCTTAGGAAGCTAATTTAAGCTTACTCAGGATAGGGATTACATAGTAAAATGCTTATGTTTAAAAATGAAAAGGATGCGGATCCATTAATGGGGATGGAAAACTGCGTAGTAGATACTATTTAAAAAGCATATAGCTACAAAAATGCCAGTAAGTAAGGTAAGTTTATCATAAAACACAGTTAAATATTTGTCAAATAGTTTTAATGAAAATTCAACTAAACGTATAAATCTTATTTATACTTACAGTAAACAAGTACAATGTGTACTTATATATTTACATTTTAGTTGAAGGGAATTTACTTACACAATCGCGCTTTCCCTCCAAAATATTGCACTAACAAAATACAGGATGTCAAAACACGTGATGCATCCTTTCATTCGCCTGTTGTTTGGTGCTTTGTAAAAATGTTATTCTCAAAATACAACATTATTATGAATACTTACGACAATTATTCATTGACTATTAAAACAGGTACATACTCACTTCACTTCGGAAGTAGCGCGCGTATTTTTAAATCACAATGTCATTTAAACATAGTGCCCAAAATGACATGAAAGTATTGAAAATTATGAAATTAATTTAATAGCACATAAGAACAACCAAATAAAATTGTAGTTTCCAAATAACAACCAAATGTATATATATAGTAGATTATCAACGAGTAAATATTGTATAATTTTATTTAATAATTTAGAATACATATACCTATGTAAAATTATATTAAAATTCATTCAAACTATAATCTCAAAATAGCGTATAAATTATGTTTTGGCTCGCTTATGGCTCCCATAGATACTTAGCGATTGAGATTTTGGGATCTAGTTTGAAGGCATTTAAATACATGATACATGATTACAAAATGATTTGTATAAATCGAAATTTATCAATTTGTGAACTCACAAAATGCAACTACTATTGTATAATATATACTAATTAATAAGTTTCCGAACTGCTTGCTTACTTTCGATATTATTCTATAACAGCCAGTGCACGTTTGTTGATATCTTTGGTCATAAATATACATACTTAAGTAACTGTTAGTGTTTGTTGAATTTTTGCAAATAATCTTTATTTCGCTGTGTAGCCGAACTCTGATTAAACACACAAAAAATATTTTGCGTTGCGTTTCGATCATTAATTATCTATGCAAAATCTATTTAAGCCGGTAGTTTTGTTCTGTTTTATCTGGATTATCAAATTTGACGTAAGTATGGAATAGATTACATATTTAGAACTTTATTTTTATATTTCAATATTGTGTAACGGTATGTATGTACTTCAGTTTTCACATACTTACACTTAATAAAAATCGCGTTTTTATACTGACATCATTATATTTCGGAAGTTTCGAGAACTTTAACGTTTTCACGGATGATGATAATATAATGACAGTTAATAACGCTAGATTAAACCGTAAAAGTCGTAATTATATTCAAATAATGGCTCAACAAACGTGCTACTAGCTTATAACGCAGTCTTAGTATTCCACTCTTACCCTACACTATAGACTGCTATTATTGCCACACTACACGATTACAACACTACTAAACATCTAACCTGTATGAAATAAGACTTGTTGCTTGTGATGAAAATAGGATCTAGAAAAAACGCTTTTCCACATATAAATATATGATAGTTATCGAATTGAGAAATTAGCATTTAGGAAGCATACAACTTAGGGTTTAATGGTTACTTTGAGATATTAATGTCTCGATTGTATATTATGACCGTTATTTCAACCCTTCAAACCTCACGACTGCTTTGCGCAGATATAAGAATGGTAGTGGCACCTTTTTTTATTGCTTAGATGGGTGGATGAGCTCACAGCCCACCTGGTGTGAAGTGGTTACTGGAGGCCATAGACATCTACGACGTAAATGCGCCACCCACCTTGAGATATAAGTTCTAAGGTCTCAAGTATAATTACAACGGCTGCCCCACCCTTCAATCCGAAACGCATTACTGCTTCACTGCAGAAATAGACGGGGTGGTGGTACCTACCCGCGCGGACTCACAAGAAGTCCTACCACCAGTAGGCAGCACCTACCCTTGCGAGCTTATCATTAATGCATGTCAGTCAATCAGCATATTAAAACAATAAATAATATTTCGATATTACAATTCGACAGGAACATATATAATATTAATGACAAGTAATGATTTATGTATAAACGATTAAAATTTCCCGAAAATTATTATAGAAGTTATTTGTTCGCCACTCGCTCCTACGTGGCGACAACAGCAGATACCACTCATCCATGTTATTATTATCAATGAAATTGACGTTTTATTTTTATGTTCTAATACTATTAGTAACAACATCAAACATTTTAAAATTAACAAAAAAAATTCGAATTAAATCTCCTTAACATAAGCTTGAATATAATATTTGTCCTATATGTTGTGTTGTATTGTATAGTGTTATTTTTCAGCCTGTTAACTTTTTTTGAGCTGCATAAAAAGATTAACATGAATACTTAAATAATTAATTCAGCTTGAAAATTTTCTTCGGTATGCCTTGAGATCCTATTTTCAATACAAACCCACCGCCTCTCTAATCTCTAACTACAATATGCAACTACAAATATAATGGAAGATAATAAATTGGCCTCGCCTAAACACGAAACTATAACAACTACAATGGACTAGACTGCAGATCGTGGAGGGACTACATGTAGAAGGGCCGGTCGGCACTCTTTGGCAATGAGGTATTTAAAAAGGTTCTAAGCAACACTTAATAGGCAAAGGAAAATTTAGCAACAGTATAATAATATCAATTATTAAAAACAGCGAGGATTTCATGTAAATGATCTACAATTTCTTTGAAGATCTTGATGACATACTGCCTTTCAGTTTTGAAGAGTTAAATTATTAGTTCAGACAGAATCTCAATTCGTGTTAAAACTTAAGAAAATTAATTCTTAAATTTTACAGAAATCACTCTATTATCGACAATATACATGAGCAGCAATAGGATGAAGTTCTTTGGTCTTCTAGATTATCAGTGGATTCATCTTTGGTAACAAAAATCTAAATGTATCTGGTATATCAGGGCAGAACGTAAATTCATTCATATCACAAAAAGAACGTTTTCATTTCACGTCTTAAATTAAGAATTACATTTATCTGGATAGATATTCTTGGATACAAACAGTAATTCACTAAAAGCGAATCAAAATTTAACTATTGAAATTAAATAGGCAAGCTGGTATCGAACCCGCATAGAATTGTACCAAAGTTGTAATTGACTTCACATGGGATTCGTATCGTTCGAAATAGGTCAGATATTTGTATAACTCTCTTTCCTATTTGACACGAAATGAATCCAATTTGTAGATAACGATAACAGTTATCCCGTCACAACTGCGACTTCAGACTTTAGATCTGAAGTGAATGGCAATTTTGTCACTAAATAACACATCAAATACGGAGCTTCCAATAGTGTTCGTTAACACACATTAACACGTTAACAACAATAAGATAGTGCCAACGGTCCGTCACTACTGGATAACTAGGGAGAATTAAGGAATCTTCGCTAAATGATGCTAATCATGTTGAAGAGACATCGTTTGTGATTGTAGGAACTACAAGGAGTCCAGCCTTGTGCGCTGCACCGCTAGTAGCGCCGATTGTTGCTGGAGGCTTTTTCGAAGCCCTTCCAATGTTTGCAGTACCTAAAAAGTTAATCAAAACTTCCTTTCATATATGGATTAAAACACTTAATTAATTATTAAGTATTATTTAATATGAGCGCACACTTAACCGAACACTTAGGCAAAAGACAAGAAGGAAGTTGAGTAAAGAGCGAGATAGCTACATTTTAGAATGACAGGTGTCGAATGCGTTTAGGAATTTGTTTGATATCTCACAATTCCTTATAACGGCGTATGTCTGATTGCTACAACTGTGAATGCAGAAAGCTTTAAAATTGCGTTTCATACAACATTTTCATCATCGACAATTTTCTTTTTGTTAAGAACAACACTAGTATTGCCTCCTACCTTGAGACATGAGTTCTATATCAGTTATATATGTAGTAGGTATAAAATCTGCCACACCCTTCAAATCAGAAAACATTCCTGCTTCATGACAAAATTAAACGGGGTGGTGGTGGTTTTTTTTTAATTATTGCCCTTGTAGGCAGACGAGCATACGGGTCAGCTGGTAGTGAGTGGTTACCGTCGCCCATGGACTTCAGCAATGCCAGGGACAGAACCAAGCCGCTGCCTACCACTTAATACTCTCCACAAGCCTCTTTTGAAGAAGGACATGTCATCGCGCTCGGGAAACACCGCGGAACACCGTGGCTCATTCCATAGCCGGATGGTACGTGGCAAAAAAGACCCCTGGAAACGCACTGTCGATGAACGCAGCGGTTCCAAATAATATGGATGAACTTTGCTCCGATGGCGGGAGGTGCGATGATAAAAAGGAGATGAAGGGATCATCTCAAATCATTCCTCAGAGCGCTTTTTGCCGTGTATAATTCTAACCACAACTTTTGTTCGGTAATTTCTGTACTTAATTTATCGTAAATCGATGCACCTACTTTCCATATATTTACGAAAGTATTAGTTGAGTTTCTATTATCTGTGTTCCGGTATCCTATTAACCCCAAATGGATAGTGAGTTGGTTCATGCGTCCAATCTATCTCTATATATAAAAATTAATTGCTGTTCGTTAGTCTCGCTAAAACTCGAGAACGGCTGGACCGATTTGGCTAATTTTGGTCTTGAATTATTTGTGGAAGTCTAGAGAAGATTTAAAAGGTAGATAAATATCAAACTGCTCGTAATTAAATAAAAATAACAATTTTGTTTTTTCTTTGATGTGTCGTCCCCCGTCAGACGGATTCATTTTGTTTGTTTTTAGTTTATTTTATACAAAAGTTTAGGTCCTTTATTTATCGATTGAGGCACTACGAAGTCTGCCGGGCCAGGTAGTAATGAAAAAAAAAACATTTTCTTCATAAATGTCTATGGCACACTTGTAAGGCTCGTGAAACTTACCTCGTCTCTAGCATAGGCCTTCCTCTTGGGTGGCTCAGAGTGCGGCCTGTCGGTCGGCGAGGGGGGGGTGCGTGCAGGAGGGGGCGGTGCGGCCAGCGGGGAGCGGCGCGGGGCGGGGGACAGACGCCGCGGTTCAGGTGAGTTGGCGCGCATGAAGTTCGTCAAATGAGTGCGTTCGGGACTACGACGAGGGACTTCCACCTGGACAACACGAAACAATGCTTGGAAATTTTAAAGTAATTTTTATTTTTATTTTATTTATTCCGAACTAGCGACCCGCGCTCGCTTCGCTTCGGAAACTGTAATTTAATATTGATTTCTCCACTATTTAATGGATGTTATTATACATATAAACCTTCCTTTACAAACACCATATATTAAAAAAACCGCATCATTATCCGTTGCGTAATTTTAAAGATTTAAGCATACATAAGAATATAGTGACAGAGAAAGCGACGTTGTTTTATACTATGTAGTGATGAATAATAAATAATAGTTTAAAAAAACTAAATCTATTCGCTTTTATAGCAAATCCAACTCAACAATAGAAAATAAATTTTAATAAATTTGAATTAAAAATAGTGTAAGAAAAAATGATTTTATTGTAAAAAAGCGTCGTCGGGTGCATGGTATCAGTAGGTATAAATATTTTATGAACAGATACGAGTAGAAGGGTTATTTTGATAATATCCTGGAAAAGCACCCCACGCTTTTTTACAATAAAATCATTTTTTCTTACACTATTTTTGATTCAAATTTATTAAAATTTATTTTCTATTTTTAGTTGGATTTTAATTTCTTTCAATTATTATTTTTAAATATTGAATTGTCATCGGTCCTAATAAGTATGCCAAATTTCGAGTTAATCCGACGTTTTGAAGGGGCTCAAAATCATGTTCAAAGATTCCGTTACAAACTAACATACATACGTGTGAAGCTAATAAAAGCGTATTACAAAAAATGTTACCGCGCAGCACCGATCTTTGAGGCCAGGCTTGTGGGAGGCCTATGTCCAGCAGTGGACGTATGTGGACTCATAGAATAGAATAGAAAAATAGTCGGAACTATGTGACAACTAACCGCTGAAACGCCTGAATTATTCGCGTGACCTTAATGACGTCACGATTAACGATTATAATGTGTAATCCTATTTTCTATGTACTTCGGTAACCACCTAAAACTGGAGGTGTCGTGAGTGCGCTCACTACCTAACAAAAAGATTAAAAAAGAAAAGAAGATGATGGAAATACAACACATAACTAAACTTTTTTTAATACTCACTTCGGTAGCCCGTAACTCCCTAACTCTTGGATTGTGTGGAGGCTCTAAAGGGGCCCTCGATACAGTTACTAATAGCTTTTCGGCCTCTCTTATGAGCTCTCGGTACTTTCTCTCGGCTTCTCTGTCCGCTTCTAAAAGAGGGTCTCGTACCGGCGCTGGAGGCGCGGGAGTGTGGTTTCTGCGTCGGGAACGCGGGGGGGTCGCTCCTGAAATAAGACATTCCACATAATACAGAAAGTATATCGATTTTTATTTGTTACTAGCTGACCCGGCAGACTTCGTAGTGCCTCAATCGATAAATAAAAGACCTAAGCTTTTGTATAAAATAAACTTAAAACAAACAAAAGGAACCCACCCGTCTGACGGGGGACACATCAAAGGAAAAACAAAATTTTTATTTTTATTTAATTTCGAGCATTTTCATTCATTTATCTACCTTTTAAACCTTCTCTGGACTTTCACAAATAATTCAAGACCAAAATTAGCCAAATCGGTCCAGCCGTTCTCGAGTTTTAGCGAGACCGCCTCGCCTATTTCTGCGGTGAAGCAGTAATGCGTTTCGATTTGAAGGGTGGGGCAGCCGTTGTAATTATACTGAGACCTTAGAACTTATATCTCAAGGTGGGTGGCGCATTTACGTTGTAGATGTCTATGGGCTTCAGTAACCACTTAATATCAGGTGGGCTGTGAGCTCGGCCACCCGTCTAAGCAATAAAAAAATAAAATAAATAAAGAACAGCAATTCATTTTTATACATACACAGCAATTCATTTTTATATAATATATATAGATGTATAGTCTTAGTATGATGGCTTTACAGTGTCTAATGTATAGTCTACGTGATGACGGTTATTATTATCAGTCATATAAATAGCTGTTTCTTTGTTTAATATTATTATATATTTTTTATAAATCATTTTGAATAAAATAAAGTTGATAACTTTGTAAAGTAGTTTATTTATCAATAAAAAAATCATAATAAAAATGTAGGTATACCCGAATAATTATTTTCTTTATACCTCGAATAGAACTAAAAATTAATATTTTTATAATAAGGAACTTCGCTCCTATCCGGTGTCCCACGACATCACACGTCTTTTTTTAACTATTGACTAAGTGAACAAAATACCAGCTGATCTCGGTGCGCGTCTCGGAGGTCTGCGTCTTCTTGCTCTTCGTTTCCCCGGCGAGGCCATATCCAGATCATCGGCTTCCTCTTCATCGCCTCCATCCAGTCCGGTATCTCCGTCAGAGTCTATATCGGCATCGGATAGTATTGCTGTTTCTCTACCGCGCACACGACCCTCTTCGTCGCTGGATACACCACCACGGTATTTCCTGGGCTCCGACGACAAATGCGGTGATAGATGCGGCGATAAATGTGGTGACCTATAATATAAATGCCAAGATTGTTTGTACCACAACAAATAGTACAGGTTGCCGTCAAAAAATACAATTCAGGTGCCAATTCAATGCCTTAAGCACATAATTGTTCGTCGGTTTTCATGAGCCGTAAACAAATTGTTAAAATTTATGTGCGCATATTTATTTCATTTTATTATTTCAGAAGTTTTAAGTTACCACACTTTAAATTATTTAGCGATAGATAAAATAGTGTGGACCGACAAACTGCAGACTTGTGTGCTCGATAATTCTTGATATCCACAATCTGCTCCTTAACTCTAATCGATAAGGGTCGCTTAATTTGTCCACATTCCAGAATCACAATCCAGTTCGTAAAGACAGGATTCCGCAGAGTATACTACACTACACAAATTATTTAGACAAAAATTGCCTAAATTTGTGTGGATACCGAAAACTTCCAAATTATGCGTAAGGAACCAAGAACTGATTGGTAAAGGGTATTTATTATGCACGCACCGAAGTGTCAACCCCTCATCCCGAGATGTTATTTGAAAAGTAGTGCAGTCGTTATGCAAACAACAATCTGCGGCCATCATATAATTCTGACCATGTGCTCTGGTAATAACTCAATACCGTGAATTGCTCATCTACCTGATCCAAAAAACCATGGACCTAGTAATGCCTATTTACCCCACTGAGTTTCTCGCCGGATCTTTTTGTTGGGTCACGATTCTCATTTGATGGCAGATTCAGCGAAGCACTCCTCTCTGATCAATGTGAAACCAGAATATCCCCTCGAAACTACTAATAGTTAGGTATGGCAAAAAATGCCTACATACCCTACTAAATACTATAAAGAACAGTTTTATTATACATAAATTAAAATTTGACTAACTTAAGTTGTTCTATTTTACACGTTTTTATTACCTTGGTATGTTCGTATGTAAGGATATCCTTGAACGACATTTATACTGACTTCAAGACTTCCAATTAACTTGAAAAGTTGCACACGCATCAAGGACCGATGACAATGTAATAATTTTATAACTTCACTGTAATATGCTAACGGATAAACCTAAATCCGTATCAACAGAATAAAAAAGATGAAATTGAGTGTTAGTTCGGTTTTCTAATATAATTAAACGTATTATTTTATTAATAATCTTTTTTTGATGAGCGAGCAAAGGCTCAGCCTGGAGGGGTACAATTTGCTAAAAGCTGCCCGAGCGCCTCCAAAGGAGACCTAACAACTCAAGAGCAACTACTTCGTTAATGAATCTACTACCAAATTGGAATCGCGACCCACTGAGAAGATCCGGCGAGACAAAAGGCATGGGTTAGGTTGCATGTCAAACTCTTTGCCGAGTTCGACAAGTAGGGTCTAATGCAAGGGTTATTAGATCTGATGGATCCGTAGGGACGTGTTTAGGGCGACGACGGTGACTGGGTCCTGCGTGATCAGGATATTACTAATCTATCCATGCATGCTTAGTATGTATATTGTGAAAACATTAACCTGTACTTGAGTTTCAACTTGTAAAGACGCAAAATATATTTCAAACAAAATTTTTAAATAGCTCCAATAGAATTAAAAAAGTATTTAATACGAACCTAGAATCGAATTTCGCGGCCTGTGAATCCACAGAGTGCGACGCGTGTTGCAACTGAGGCGCTACTGTTTGCGGACACTGCAGCGATTGTTGTTGACACAGGTGTCCCGGGCGCCTCCTACTTGGCGACGTGGCACCCAGCCAGGGGTTCGTTCGGATCCTGCACCTAGGGCGAGGGGACGGGGTCGCACAAAGAACCGGCTCGGGAACGCAACGCCGTATTTGCACTGGTGGATTAGACCGCCGCTGTAATCAAAGAATAAGTTTGCGTTACTAAGATCGAATCTTTTTTTTATCGCCTTGTAGGAAGACGAGCAGACGGCCCGCCTGATAGTGAGTGGTTACCGTCGCCCATGGACTTCAGCAATGCCAGGAACAGAGCAAAGCCGCTGCTTACCGCAAAATGCACATAAGATATTAATACCTACCTAACGTAGCTTATATTCATAGTTTCAATATTTTACGATCGAACTTGACTCCTTAATTAAATGCGGGAAATGAATAAACCTATCTAATACAATTGCCGCCAATTCCGGCCTACTTAGTTTTAAATGGTTATCACAAGGTCTACGCCACCACCTACCTTGAGACTTGAGTATTTTGTCTCAATTGCATAGTAATTATGCAAATTAAGATTTTGTGTTTTTTTTATACAGTGTTAGTTCTTTCCGTAAAATACCCCGCCTATTTCTGCCATGAAGTAGTAATGCGTTTCGGTTCGGAGGGTGAGGCAGCCGTTGTAACTATACGGAAACCTTAGAACGAATATCTCAAGGTGGGTGGCGCATTTACGTTGTAGATGTCTATGGGCTCCAGTAACCACTCAACACCAGGTGGGCTGTGAGCTCGTCCACCCATCTAAGCAATAAAAAAAATGTAAAAATCGCTATATTTATTATGATTAAGCTACATTTTATGAATTGTTTCATATTAATTCCATTAGTTTGTATAAATAAGTTGTAGTTGCTATAACGATCACCAAATTGGCTAATTGTGTAAAAACTAAGACGTAGATTTTTGTAATAAGCAAATAATTTTAATGTTTTATAGAATTGTATTGTATATTCATTGTAATAGATCTTATGTATGAAAACGCTAGCGTAACGCCGACAATTACGTCGGGCGACCTCGGCCAAAAAAATCACACTATTGGAATCTAATCATCGATATATTACTTTTCGACGACGATTAATATATCGATGAATCTAATAATCACAAAACGCCCGCTTCCCCCCATCACCAGCACATTTACAGTTTAAAAAGGTGTCTGATCCAACGGGGGGGTTAGTGTTACGTATTAATCATTCAGCCCTGTCGTGGCCTCCATTAATCTGCATTTTAAGCGACAGCAAGGATTTAGAAAAACGATGGAATTATGTAAATGATTATCCTTCGTACAAAGAACGGAACCATTTAGTAGTATCTATAGAACGGTTGAATAACAGAATATTTCGGTTCGATTTTCAAATATGTTTTTAAATAACAAAATATGTACGACTCTTCTATTTTTCCTACCTTTGCTAATAGGCTTGAGAGGCTATTTCAGCTTCGCCTTGACGTTTAGGTGAGCTCACGGGGCTCAAACCAGAAGTGTTGCTAACACTGGCCCTAACAAGAGCAGTGCTTCACAGAATCTACCACCGGATCGGAAACGCGACCCACTGAGAAGATCCGGTGAGAAACACAGTGTACTGTGTCTGTGGGTTTTTTTTTTTTTTTTTTTTTTTTTTTTTTTNTTCAGGTTTTCCTCCGGAAAAGTGTCCAGCAATCACTGCAATCCAAAAACTCAAACTGAGGGCGTATGCGACTCTTTATTACGCGTCGTTTGACGTATCGGACATTAAAATCGATGCACTTTTGCCACTTTCCCGAATTTTTTAATGATTTTCGAACGTAAATCACGTGCGGAGCGACTTGGGACACGCGTGTTCGCTGCGGAGGACCAAGGCAGACTTGTGTCTGTGGGTTAATTTACTCGTCGAGCCCTTCGTCGCAAGCCACGAGGACGGTGACCGGTGCTTGAGCCTTAAAGCACCGTTAACGGATCGGGATAATGACGTGAGTACGACTCGAAAGCGTTACCTCGTTACTAGAAGTTTTGTAAGCATGAGTTAATTGCAGAACCGCAGTTGGTTCGAGGTTTGCAACAAACAACAGTTGTACACTAGCCGTAGAAACGATAAGATTTACCTAATCGACCCGGTCAGTGACAAATACTGCGTTCTAGCTCTGAGCCAACGCTTTTAATTCTAAAAATTAATAAGCACATAATTTAGAGTTACTCTTTTGTTTCACTTCTTCAAAAGCGATGCGTGCTATTTTAAAACAACCGAGGGCTATTATAAAACATATAATTTAATAAATTAAATCATGAATAGGTTGTAGATTAGTGTAGATAACCTATAATTTCATATATGCCTTATTCACTGTTACGTTGTGAGCGTAGAATGGCTGATGTATTTTAGTTAGGCAAACCTGCTTCATGGCAATTCTGCAACAACCTACATTTAGTTTAAGAGACTTTTATTGAAATTTCGAAATTCGAAATCCGAACCCAAAGATAAACCGATTTAAACTGTATTTACGTAATATTATTTTTTTCCTACCTAAGCTGATAGCTTTGAGAGGCTATATCAGCGTTTTACGTAATAACTTATGCCATGTGGTTTATAGACTTTAATTTCGCGTGTCGTCAATAGATGTCGCTGTACGTTTTGTACGTCGCGCTATCAATATTTTCCGCAAATTTTAGAAGAGCAGCGCACGCGCGTATCTTTAACTTCCTTGTCTTGGGGAGCATAGTGCGCAGTGATCGTAAAGTGAGAGCACTTCTGCTGACACCCACAAGTTAAACTTGTTAAACCCGCGCCCGGCTGCCGTAAGGGAGTCCGAGCGCAATTTTTAACGGGCACTCTTACTTTACAGAGGCCTTTATCATTAACAATGCTAATATTTAAACTTAATTGGTCCTTTTTTCCCTACCTATTCTAATTATTGTGAACCGATTACAATTTCTGGCTCCGGTTTATTACAGATTTGTTTCTCAAAAAACCGGTTTTTAAGGTGTTATATTTTTAGGTTTTTTCCATAAATGCTAAATAATCATTAAATAAAACAAATTTACGTGCAAACGAAGAGTTTTCTTCATACAATTATTAATAACCCTATTATTATATTTTATATAGACTTAATGATCATATTATCCAATAATAAAAAACTTTTTATTGTTGATTTAATACTATTGTATTTTTTTCAAAGTAGTTTTTTCTTATATTTTGCATGGTAATTGCACTGTAGTTTTTAAATGTAATGCACGTTAATTTGAGTCTGAAACACGGTGTTTTTTATCTAGCAGCACGGTAATTTGTATATTTGATCTGGTAACACTGGTGGGAACTGTGAATGTAACACGTAATTAAAAACCGATATTCTTAAATAAAAACCGGTGTTTATCGGTACCTATTATATAAAAACGGGGCTCAAACATGTCGACTAATTAGTTCTTCGATCAAAGTGCTCATTTCATAACCGAGTCACAATGTAATGGAAACAAAATGAGATTAACAGAGACCCAACTAAAGCCCTCTGATCAATTTATCCGGTCTACGATGAAGGATTAACTGAACAGCATACAACTGGGTATACGGACAAATACCTACCTACCTACTGCCGGTTATAACAGGGTTGCGCGAACCCTGATAAGCCTACATTCAGACGGCGTTTGTAACACGATATTGAAATGAGTTTTACGCATGCCCTGCCGCGCCGATGATAATTAAATTAACTCTGGGCAGTGAGTCTGTATTTATAAGCCCGAATATCATTTCAAGCGGACCATATTGGCACATATAAAAAAGGGAGAGCTGTCTTAACCGGTTGAAACAGATTTTAGTATTTATATATAAACGGTTACCAAGCATAGACTATTTAAACGAATCATAAAATGTAAATAGAAGCAAATAAAATGTATACATGGCAGAATTTTTTCTGGAATATTGGTTTTAAAAAACAACATATAACTATTTTTTAACTATAAATATATAAAATATTTTATATATATTCTCTAAATTGATGGCAATCTGAATCGATAGGAAGTGCCTCAAAAATCACTGCAAAAGGATGTCGGTTTTTTTTGTCGTTTTTCTCTAATACACATTTTGTCTATCTAGCCCCTCAGCCCGCAATAAAGAATGCCGTTTCAAAAATACGTATGTATAATATGTATCTTTTGGTTCGTTCCCCAAGGTACATATAAAGATATCTTGTCACAAAATGGACGCGTAAGACACACATGTTCACATATCTGTCAAATTATCCACAACCAGTGGTAAGATGGAATAGCTCCTTAACCTTTCGGATGCGTGACAGAAGAAAATGACATTAGACGACCAGTGAATATGTGGTAAAAACAATCGGATACGAGTCTTGAGTAAAAGTGTGCAAACAGAAGTAAACGTATATAGACTCTATGTGGGTAGAAGAAAATGAAAGTTGCAAGCAGAATGTGCGCTGTCATATTAACGAGTTGATCGTAATTAAGCTCAGAAATATTTTGTGTGTCGAGATCAATTGTAAAACTATAAATATAAATGAAAATATGATGGGTCGGATTCCTGCGTTGAGTCCAGAATGACTGGCCTCGCGTGGTAAAATTGTCAGCCACACGACTTTAATAATCGGATTCAGAGATCTTTTAAATATATTATGTAGAATTGGGATCGTGGCGCTTAAAAAAAAAAAAAACTATTGTTGCACTTTTATTATTCTCTACCAAAATCTTCTTTGTTATTATAATTAAAAATTAACTAACCACTTTTTTACGCCTAGCTCATTTTTTTTTTATTGCTTAGGTGGGTGGGAGAGCTCACAGCCCACCTGGTGTTAAGTGGTTACCGGAGCTAATAGACATCTACGACGTAAATGCGCCACCCACCTTGAGATATCAGTTCTAAGGTCTCAAGTATAGTTACAACGGCTGCCCCGCCCTCCAAACCGAAACGCATTACTGCTTCACGGCAGAAACAGGCAGGGTGGTGGTACCTACCCGCGCGGACTCACAAGAGGTCCTACCACCAGTAAATTCATTCATTTAATCGTCTTTATTAAGTCATTCAATCGTCTTCACTATCTTACTTTTCTGTTTCCATTATTTTTTCCCTTTCTTACCGTTCTCTCTCACTCGCATCTTAACTCTCCATTTCATACGTTCCATTCCACCTACCAATCCTACATTTATATCCGATCTTATGATTCTAAATTCGAGCTTTACCTTTGCAGGCTCATGGTACAGATGCGTAGTAGGCGGAGTTGGTGGCGGTGGCGGTGCGACTAACGGTGCAGCGAGCGCGGTGGGTGCGGTGCCCGGCGACGTCCCGTCTGTCGAGTAGCCGGTGCTGTACGCGCTCTCCGGCGAGGACAAGTGCGGGGGAGGGGCGGGCCCGGCGATGGTCTGCGGCGTCGGCCGCGTTTGCTTCTGTTTACGCTTCTTCGCCCGCCCCAGTTGCGCCTCCATCCACGACTTGAGCCGCGCGCCCAACATGCCGACCACGGCACCTTTATACAACAATACAAACGTAATATAAGTACATACACCTCTTGTGAGTCCGCACGGGTAGGTACCACCACTCTGTCTATTTCTGCCGTAAAGCAGTAATGCGTTTCGGTTTGAAGGGTAGGGCAGCCGTTGTAACTATACTTGAGACCTTAGAACTTATATCTCAATGTGGGTGGCGCATTTACGTTGTAGATGTTTATAGGCTCCCGTAAACATTTAACATCAGGTGGGCTGTGAGCTCGTCCACCCATTTAAGCAATAAAAAAATATATATTATAAACAAGTTTTTTTTTCTTTCAAAAAGTTAGTTTCTTAACTTGGTCTATCATCAGCTACATTTTTTTCCCTACCTATTCACTGGTAGCCTAAGAAGCTATTCCAGCTACGCCCGGATGGGTAGGTGAGCTCACGGGCTCAATCTGAGAGAATTTGCTTACACTAGCCCTAGCCAGAGCAGTGCTTCGCAGAATCTATCAGCGAATCGTAATCGCGACCCACTGAGATCAACTGGCGAGTTTGTTTATTATTCTTTCTGTTTTAATTTAAATAGGTTTATCCTAGCTGAATGATGTATCTGTATAATCGTGGTGGACTTTGGTGGACGCCTATGTCTAACAATGAACGTCTGATGGTCGTGATGATGATTGGTCTGAAGAAGCTGAAAAGGGCGGTGATAACATTTGTGTCAAAAATATTTTTTAAAAGATTAATGCTTTACAAAGAAATTACCGAAAAATTAGGGAAAAGTTGGGTGGTAAATTTGATTAAATGATTATAATACAATGTTCCAAATCTAGCGAAGACTAGTATGGCGAATATTTTATGTAATCATCTATCTGCTACATTAATTTCAACTATGTTGTAACGAAGGAAAAAATAAACAACTACATCCAAATTCTCTTTTAATCTCACGGACAGTCGAAACGAACGTACTCGTGAGATATAAACTCACCACAAACACAATCTTCAGCCATTTGATGTATTTTCCTCACCTTTGATAAACAAATCGTTGTCTAAAAACGTATTACACCATAAAAGCTAACAACAAAGGACTCGACGGCGGCCGCTCAACATTTCTCTGTCATCACTCGGAATAAACAGAAGGGAACGTAAATATTTTTTTTTCCTTGTGATTTCATTTCGCGGAACGCTTATAGTTAAATCATCAAAGACCAGAAGGGATTTATACGCACAAAAGAAACTTGTATTATATTGCATATAACGTCTACTCTAAGCAAAGAAACAACCTATACCTTATATGAAAAGTAAAATTTTCATTCAAGACTTTCGTAAAGATATTCGTTGTGCTGAAATTTTGTAATCATCACTTTACAAATTATTTCAGATTTTGGCAATTTATTTATTATGCATTTACTCAGATTTTATTTGGACTATATATCGCAACATTAGAAGCTTATATTCTAATATCCGATTTCAACTATCTTAAAATGTAATTGGTGCTAAATTAATTCAGGCATGTCGTACCCCCCATAATAAATAATACGAAAATTCATTTTTCTTATTACATATTTATCTAAAACCATTGTGCAAGCCGTAAAGAGAAAAAAAAACACGAATCAGAATCATAATTCGTAATTGTGAAAAATAAATCCAACGTTATGGACTTTTTAACTTATATCTAAACTCTAACAAATAATGAAATGGGTATATCGAGAATTGGCTTTGGTACATCTTATTTTATGGAGTTATCGCAACGTGTCTGTTTTGATTCCACCCTCGCCTTACGTATTCCCAGAAACTGTAACTCTCGCTCGTAAAAGGGCGCAGTCAACAAACACCCTTCAAGAATAGAATGCCTTTAGATAGTTAAAACTGTCGACAGAAATTTACGTTCGTTTCTTCAGATCTGCGCCATTGCTATAGTAACAAATAAATCTGATAAGTTATATCATAGGATAATAACAAAAAATAAGTGATCAAAAGTGAATGTGCTTTCATTTACTAGTACCTTTTTTGATATATGAGCTCCTCCACGGGTGAAGGCCTGCTTTAGTTTCTTCCATTTGTCCCTATAATTTGCATTATTCTGCCAGTCATTGCCTGCTGTATCTGTTATGTCATCAGTTCACCCTCTTTCGATCTGCCTAGTCTTCTTTTCCTTTTGGTCCTTACCACTCTGTAGTTGTGGATGTCCATCCACCGACAATTTTTGTATCATGATATGTGGCCAGCCACTTCAGTGTTAGGGTTTGCGTGAACGCATCAGTTATCTTGGTTTTTGTCTAATAACTGTACTTCTGACTTTGTCTATTTCCTACATTATAGAATTGGTACTATTCGCTTGGTAATAAACGAAATGTTCCTAAATTCACTTCGCGTGACTACACAAATCACGTTGTCCTCCATCAATCACAATCACACGCCAATTGAAATCCGTTCGACTCGGGTTCAGCACCCTTGCCGACACGCCTAGTACTTAAGTAACGCTATGACCCTTTCCTCGACAGCGAAATCGTGTAGCTGCAGAAAAGACTAATGAAACCGACTTATCCCGATCGGCGGGGGTGTAAACTTACGAGATTCAGCTAATATTAGCAATCCATTACCATTGGGCTCCCCACACAAGGTTCCTGTCTATCAACGGTAAATTTTGGGATTTGGTAATTCCGGATCCCGTATATCTTTATTTAGTGTTAAACAGAAAGGAAAACACAATTCGAATCTCGAGATAAGAGTTTGCAATAAATATCATAATGGTACTATGTTCAATATAGAAATATAAAAGTCGATACGTATAATAATGTGTGTGTGTGTGTTCTAGTTTGACCGATTTCGATAAAATTTACAGGACACCTTCAAATTGGCCTAATCGGTAAATCTTTGAGTATGGTAGCGATCGGATTAAAGTAAAATCAAAGATCGACCAGCAAGCAGCAAGGAGGACGAGGTTTGACTAGTTTTATTCACAGAAGCAATTTAAAAAATTTAGAATTGATTAAACTGTTAGGTATTCTATATTTTAAAAAAACCCTAAGGCAATCTCGTAATTCTTTAAATCTTTGTCAATAGTAATAAAAAAAGAACATAAAACTATACCTTCGTGCCGTTACAATAAAAACCAACAATACTTCAAGTGAAAGACCTTTACGAGTTTTCCGCTGAGTAATGAATCGTAGTCAAACTAATAAATTGTGGTTCGGGCACAAAGTGTCTGTACGCAGTTTACCGCTTGTCGGGACAAGGGCGGATACGAGTGAGTATAAGGACAACAACTTGAATAAAAGTTGACGTGATGAAAAAAAGGGAACGCTTTCAATAAAACTTCTTTTGAGCGCTTCGTAAAATGGATCTTCCTTGTAAGGGATAAACTTTTTTCAATCCAATCCATTACGTATTCTACTTTAAAAAAAAAAACGAATAATATATCGTATCAATGTTAATTTAATGTTTGTTGTTGTGGTTTGTTCCTTTTTATATTAGAATAATTTCAAATAATGATAGAGTCCACGTTTATTACAAAATATTATTGTTCTCAATTGCGCAATAAAATTAAAATGATTTTAATTAATAGTACTATGGTTGCTCGAACAACGAGCCTGATTTATTTTTCATAAGAAAATAAACTGTAAATTCTATTTCATAAATGTAACAAATCACGCTTCCTATCATCGTTCTCTTAAGCGGTTATCCCAATCCATAGACATCGCAACGCGAATACCACCACCCACTATGTGACAAAACTTCGAAATATAAATGGTATTTACAAAACGATAAAAACCAGGAAACATATCTCATTGACACCCGAAACAGTTCAAGCGCATATTCATGCAATTATATTACATTCCTTTTAAATACAGCTACGTGAAATACGTATTCAGTTCCATACATAATTAAAAATCCTCTATTGAATTGAGAGCATAAACACCCATCGTGTGGCCACGGCTGATGAGCCTTAATTAATAAATCAAATATTCATTTACAGCAGGTCCTCGTAATGTGTGGAGGGTCTGTACTGAAATAACATGAAAGGGAAGAGCTATTTTTAAACGACTCATAAAAAGCGTTTTAAATGCGGATATTGTAAAAACCGCAAGCTAAACAGCGTTGTTATGTTTAGATCTTTTATTCATGCGTCAGTCGAATAGTGAAGTATTCTAACACGAGTTAAATGTAGTAATAGTGCGCTGTAGATGAAAGTGGCACGCTATAAAAAACATGTTTGTGCAATAGTGTGATTAAGTATAAAGATGTTCAAGATCTACACAGCGTGAAACGAAACTCATCTTCTAATTTTTTATATTAACTGTGCATTTATCACTCACTCGTCACAATATTAAGTATATTATCTATGCTCGTCAGGTCTTTGGCGCCTTTTTTATATATATTTTCAAATTATGTATTGTTGTCGGACTAAAAATAAAATATAACATCACTTCCACAAACAGACTTATTATTTGTGCTACCGTGAACATTATAACACACAAGATTATTTAACGAATTTTTACCACTATTTTCAAATTTGATGAGTTCTCGATATTTTTGCAACGGCGCGCTACCTATAGTGAAAACTGCAGGTAAGATGCTAGGAGCAAACAAATGTCTAGTCTATCAAATCCGATTTTGGGCGCTATCACTGGAATTTGATGAATCGCCTCTACAATAACCGTAAGTATATGCGCATTATATCGGGGAACTCATGAAATTTGAAAAATGGCAACAACCCGTTAAAAAATTATAATAGTATATCGTATTTAAAGTTAAGTTTAACAATACAATGCAAACTACTTTATGCATGGTGTTTAGTGGCATATGCCTTGCAATGTGACCATCTAACACAAGGCGAGTCCGTCCACCTATAGTGTAGCAATACAATAAAAACTTACGGCTATGCACCAGCCAACTCAAACTTCTGCTAATAATGACTATGAATTATTCTTCTTTTGCCGTCTGTGTGGGTTCGGCGCATAAAGCTTTCGCTTCTTTTTCCATACAGGCCTATCTTGCATCATCTGTGCTCTCACATACTTTTCTCGCGTATTCTCACTCAGACAAAAGAGCGTCACGCTAGGATGACTATGACCTTCAATAACCATTAAACACCAAGGCCGTAAGCTTATTGACCCTCTTGAGATATAGCAAGCCATATTATTTCCGAACACCCGTTGTAGTAGTTATTTTTCTAACTCAATTCCGACTTTTTTTTTATTTTTATTGCTTAGATGGTTGGACGAGCTCACAGCCCACCTGGTGTTAAGTGGTTACTGGAGCCCATAGACATCTACAACGTAAATGCGCCACTCACCTTGAGATTTAAGTTCTAAGGGTCTCAGTATAGTTATAACGGCTGCCCCACCCATCAAACCGAAACGCATTACTGCTTCACGGCAGAAATAGGCAGGGTGGTGGTACCTATCCGCGCGGACTCACAAGAGGTCCTACCACCAGTAAACGCTTCTTCTTGAACTGGTAGGATGTGGTCTTAGGCCGCACGAATCGGTACCACATCAACGCAATTCACCGCACTGCCTTGTTGTATATAGCAATAGCGCTCGGAATCAGATCTTCTGATCGGATACACTATCTTATAAATTCTGTTATTGCTTATCCATATCGTCGTTTGAATAATATTCCGATCTTTGTAATGTTGTTCAAATAAGAACGGGTTAAAATTACACTTATCTGTCACTTTATTCTGGCTAATTTAATTTGAATCATTCATTTCTACATTAAATAGTAATTTGACTGTATCTTTCAATTCGTAGCTTGACGAAAAAATACAGCTGAGATAACCGAACACCGAGAGATTTTTTTACAACACGCTTTCATCAAAACGCCGACAAGCAGCTGGATTAAAATCTTGCTTCGCTTGCGCCAACATAATTGCGGTAATCTTCAACATTAATCATGTTGCACATTACAATAAAGCACAATTTAGTAAGAAACATTCCCCTTACCGAAGTAAACCGACATATACTTGTGTCAGAGGGTGTCTTTGTTAAGTTTCTTTAATGAAACAAATTTTAGGGGTGTTGCTAAGATACATTTTACGTCTTGAAGTTGAACACAATGTAAGTTGTACGCGACAACCAACAAATCAAAAGAGAAGATCTACATTTGTCCCGTTTAATTACAAACAGAGAAATACTTCACACTTTTGTTTACTCACAAAGCTTGACTCAATGCAGATTAATTTTAAGCTCTGGAGGTTTTAAAAATCCCATCAAAAGAAACTCCAGCTCGTAGCTAGAGTCGGGCTAATTGCGGGCCGCTTTCAGACAGCGTCTCTAAGGCTTACGGGATTGCAGACAAACTAAAAAGACTGAAAGCATGAAGGCCTTAGCGCGCCAGACGACCGGCAATTGTTTGACGATGCACAGCACTATGCGATGTGAGACAAATGAACAGCCTGACGTTGCATGTTTTTGAAGAATGCCTTCATCATGTTTGAATGATGGTAAAATTGTATTTCTTTCTAATATGTTGATGATTTTTTTAGAATTTGATGTGACAAAGCTTACGACATTATTGCACCAGTTAAGCCATTAAATTAATTTATTAGTTGCGAATTAATAAATTATTGTATCTACCGGATAACACCGATATCAACCAACAAATACGTCCGACGTCCCATCACCACCAATATTTATTTTTTGTACAAAAACTAAATTGATGTCAGGGTGACCAACTTTTTTAATCAATGGGCAAATTTAGATTTAATTTTTTTTTGACGGGCCGCACATAAATTAACTTGTATTAATAATTTAAGAAACTTTATATCTTTATTAGAAACAAACAAGAATAGAACAGAAAAACGAATTGATGGGAGAAAGTCGATAAAATAAATTCAATTTTCGAAATGCTTGGCGGGTCGCAAGCGGCTGGCAGGCTGCGTGTTACTCATCCTTGGATTATAGCATTAAACAACACTGTAAAAAATCCAAACCTCTTATCATTATTTACTTCGGCTCTCCCGAGTCGTAAATATAATTAAAATCAGTTAGTGCAGTATTCAATTATATAATAATAATCAATACTAATATATAAATCTACAGTGTTTTTTACGGATATTGCGTTATAACTACTGAACCATGCATCCGATTGACTTGAAACTTGGTATCCATGTAGAAAATACATTTACTTAATGGATAGGCTAATATTTATATGAGTGTTGGACTCCCTAATAATAATGACAATAAATAATAATGTTAATTTTAAATGCCCAGCGAAGCGGGCGGTTACGGCTAGTACTTTCATAATAATAATAATACTTGAGAATAATACTTTAGTCGTCCCTGACCACGAAAACTGCAAGCATTCAGATACGTCCGGAAATAATATAATGACAGTAAAAAAGGCCGGATTAATCCGCAAAAGTAGTTTGAATAATGCCTTTAATTATACTAAAATGATAGACTGTAGACCCGATTACAATAATTATTTTTATATCAATAGATAGGAACTCTAGATTAGTAAACTAGGTAACAAGTTACATGATATTTATTGGGAAATTTAACAAACCAATAATAGTTAATCCCGACTAATTTCGTTTTTATTTCATACGCATTAAAATTTCTAATACATACCTTCGAAAATACTTTTAAGAATTTTTGGTTGGAGAAAGAATTCAAACAATTAATTCGGCTTTACATTTTCGCAAATACATATATGAACACACTCAGATGTAAACGGATATATGTAAATATTATTATATCAATTTTACGAAAGCCGGGTGATTTAAAAATTTAAATAAACTGAATTTTTTTTTTTTTATAATTTAAAATCATTATGTTAAGACTAAATCTTTCTTATTCGTGATATTGGTAACATTAATGTCTATGATTATAATTGATGTGTTTGAGAGTATCTGCTTACTGGGGGTCGCCACCTACATTATCTTCACCTTCAGAAAATGTTGGGTGTCACAATTAAATATATTGAATCGGAAAAATGAGTGCTAATGATAATTCAAATTATCTACGCTACCAAGACATCAGTCATCATGTTCATATCAAATGAACGGCGAATGACAATAAATAATAATGTTATACAATATTGTTTTAATAATATACATTATTATAATATATTAATTATTATGTTATATTATATTAATTTAAGCAACGTTCGGCAGAGAAATTCAATTATACGGAAACGTGTATGTTGACTCTTCAGTATTAAACTACTTAAATATAATCGTTTCAAAAAAAAACAAATGAATATTGTAGAACCTACGTGTTCACATAAAAATCATTTTATGTCAATTTCAAAAGATGACACTTTTTTCTTCTGTTTTTAAAAACCAACAGCGTTGTTGTAACTTGCATTAAATTTTCAAGAAACGAATGAAAGCATATTATTGAGACACACGAATTAAATACACCTAGACAATATCTAGAAATTGTGCAAATATAACAGGCCCTTGGGAGCAAATTAATGTAAAATCACATACAGGGTTATCGAACGAACCGTTCATTTGTTGCAGTTCGCCGAGAAGGCTGTGACGGCGGCGTATCCACGTGCGGAAATTATCTCTTCCTTTAATTATTTCCTCAATGAAAAACACATGCAACTTTTCGTTTGGTTAACCGAATATGTTAAAGTGTACTTACAGGGGCGCGCGGTGTTGATTAAATGTTGTGTATTGTAGTTCGGTGGTGTTTAGCCGCATAACGAGCGATGCGGCGACGCGCGGCTGCCGCCGACTGCCGACTGACGCACGCGCGCCACCCTTCGCCCTCACCTACGCGCTACGATACTACGTAGGACGCATTTTACACTCTACGTCCAATGAAAATCATTTTCAATAATGAATATTTGCTTTTCCATTTCAATCATTACACTCTAAAACCTCTTTTTTTTTTTCATCGAACGGAAAACAAGGCGCTTGCTTCACACAGAAAAAAAAGTGTGTGAATACAATGTTTTAATTTTGTCAGTTTCATTAATAAGGTTGTAAATAAGGACGCCTTCTTAATACCTAAAACTTGAATTCTCAATTATTATTTTATAGTGGCTGTCGAATTGGAATTTATATCACACCAGAAATAGGCACGCGGTGATTACTGCCGGAGCTGACTCAGAATGCCACGAGTAGTTACGCAAATGTTTAATTGGAGAAAGATACAGCTTAGTAGCAGATGTGCAAAGGAAATGTAGTAGCAACAACTATGATTTGGCAGCGGTTGCCTATTCATTAAAAGCTGGACTGGTTAAACTTTAAAAAAGATATATTGTAATCTTTTGTAAAAACAAAGCATCATTGGTTTCAATACAATAAATACTAGTTCATTCTAGGTATTTAAACGAACTCGGTTGAACCGAAATTCAAGACGAATTCTCAAAGCGACTATTACATTAATGTGGGGGGTGATAAATTGGTACAGTGAATGTAAATATTTGCAGACCGCCCTCCGGGCTACAAGTCTCTTAAATGGCTGTTTTATTTTGAAGCACTTGCTGTTTAAATTGCCGATAATTTTTACGGCCTAAAAATCATTAATCAGCCAAATGCGTAACGTAAATGTTTATGTAATTAATATCTGGATTCTTCTAAATAACCAACGTAGGATCATTATAATTCTGGGGCGAATCTCAGAGTGGGTGAATTGGTCTTTTTTTTAATCAAATATGTCGAAGATAGGTTTGCGAGTTCAATGTGTGAACTCTGGAGCGAATCTCAGAGTGGGTGAATTGGACTTTTTTCTTTAAATTAAAAATATTGAAGATAGGCTTGCGAGTTCAATGTGAAGAAAGATCCTTTTGTCTTGATGTTTCAATTCCATGAAGTATCCCTGCAAGCTTTCTCTAGTGTTAGGATAAATGGGCTCGACGTTTCGAGCAATGTCCAATATCGGAGTCATATACCTAGTCAGGTCATAAATTCTGTCACATGTTTAATGTAAAATAATTGAAACAAGTTTATTCATTATGTAACCATTCATATACCAAAATGAACTTAACAAAACATAGATTCTTATGACACTAAGTTTATTCAAAATGACCTCCGTGATTTTGAATACAGGCCTTCAATCTGCGCGGTCAGTCGTCTATCGCAGCACGAACGAGGTCCATGTCGATATCGGCGGCTGCCTTAATCAAGGATGTCTTGAATGACTCCAAATTGGGATGAGGCTTTGAGCACGCCTTTTCCTCCGAGTGTTGCCATATCTTGTAATCTAACGGATTCAAATCTGGACTGGAGGAGGGCCAGTCTTCGTGCCGGATGAAGTCGATTTCACGCGCCACCAGCCAGTCTTGTGTGCTCTTCGCTCTATGAGCTGGCGCCGAATCTTGTTGGAATACCCAGTGCCTCTTATTGAACATGGTATGAGAAAGAGGTTCCACAAGGTTCGTCAGGACTGTATTTTGATACACAACTGCATTCGTTTTTACACCTTTCTCACAAAAATGTACCTCTGTTAAGCCCCAATAAGAAACTCCCAACCATACCATGAGCGAGGATGGAAAATGACCTCGTTGGACACGCGGAATACGGTTGCTCGCTTCTTCACTNAACAAACATTTATTGATTTTTTTTATTCAGTGATCGGTGAACTAATTTTCAGCCCGGTGTAAAGTGGTACCCTTAGACGAACGAAGTCTCAATTGTATTGTTTAACAGCTGTCGGACTCTTCAAACCGTCGATAGCAGTCCATACCCGTATGAGTTAACAATAACTGTGATACCAAAAAAAAAACAAAAAACAGTTGGTAATCTTAGTATTAACGGCCGTCTGGTGTAGTGGTAAGTGACATAGTCACTACACAAGGGGGTCGCGGGTTCGAATCCCGCCAAGGGAAGATATTTGTATGATAAATATAAATGTATTTTCCAGGGTTATGGATGTATATTAAATATATGTATGTGTATAATAAAAATCTTACATTTATATCCGTTATCTGGTACCTGTAACACAAGTTCTTTACGAACTTATCACGGGACCAGTTAACGTGGCGTGATTGTTAGTAAATATTTATTTATTTATTTATTACTATATAACTTCAAATGAAACAAATCAACGTTTTAGCTGATGATTGGAATGCAAGAAGAAAAGTATCGTGTACTTTATTACACCTGCATATAATATACTATTACTAAAAGTGTATTTATTATAAGAGCTTGCTGTACCTACATGCCTGTAACTGGCTTACATACCAGTACGCTCGTATCATAATTAAAGAATGTTGCTGCTTATTCTCTGGTGAATTCCTTAAACGCCTTTACGAAGTTGAAAATGATAGGGTTGTATTATAGGCTCACACCGCACAATCAAAGTATTCGTTTAAAAAGAGACGGGTTCCACGAGGACGATGACCGGTGCTTGAGGTACCTAAAAGCACCGTTAATGGATCGGGAGGATCCGTAATTACGTATTTAGGGCGAGTTGATGTAGGTAAGATGCAAGCCTTCCGGCTGATACAGGTACGGATACGTCACTACTGTTTCGGCCGTTACCTGCACAGCATAATCAAAAGAGAGCTGAGAACGAAGTGCCACCATTGTGCTTGCGACAAGGACACTAACAGAAGTAATATATCATGCGATGATAGGACACGCTCAAATACTCAGAGTTGACGGCTCCGCGAGTCGTGGCTTTGACACTCGGCAGTGATATGATATGAGTTCTAAGTCTAAATTTTTCTTTACAGCCGCTACTACACCCTTCAAATTACTGCTTCACAGCAGAAATAGGCAGGGTGGTGGTACCTGTGCGGTCTCACAAAGCACCCTTCTTTTTTTTTTTAACGCTGGGGAATCCATTTCCGAATACCCGGTCGAGAGGGGTAATAGACCGGGTTATGTCGGACTCCGGCGCCTCCAGAGAAGAGGGAGAAGAGGAAGACCAAAGTCTTCCTCCTCTTCCAATTCCTACCGGGAGACTACGCCTTGAGAAAGGCGCGCGAGGCGCTGCGCGTCGTCTACCACGCAGGACCCGCCCCGCAAAACCGACTACCGACAAAACCCCATCGAGCTCCACCACTCCGACTCCACGAAACCTACGGCACCACACAATGCGCGCCGCAGGCTCGCCGTTGCCGGTACCCGTCCTGACAATAGGACGGGATCCCATCCCTGGGAAGATCCCGTAGGACGTCGTCTTGGGATACACACCGTGAGTGGCGCATAGGAGCCACCTTGCGCCGCCTCACCACGGAACCGACAGCAGAGCACCGGGCGCCCCCGCACCCAGTACCCAACAGTCCCTACGGGAGATTAACGGGAGCATCGTGCCCGCGTCGCCCACCCCGCCTTCTTCGCTGAGGAGCCGAAGAGGGATTCCACTCCCTTTCGCGCTCCTCAGCCTCGCGGAACGCCATGACCAGGTCGCAAAATCTGGCCATGGCCTCCCACGAACTCTCGTCCTCTAGCATGCGGGCAATGACAGCCCGCAAGGAGAGGTCCCACCCCAGCACCGCGATGAGATCTCGCCGCGGGTGCTCCCAACGCGGGCACGCTTCGAGTGCGTGCTGAGCGTCATCATCCGGATGCCCGCACTGGTGACAACCCGGATGTGGCTCTCTCCTGCAGACCCTCCACAGGTACCTCCCGAAGCACTCACAAAGCACCCTACCATTTGACCGACTTTTGAAGAACAACACGTAGAGGCGGCGGAGCGTAGGAGAAAGATTATTACTCTCTCGAAACATTTGAAGACAGCGTCGAACTTAATAGTATCTTTACTCTACGTCTTCTTCTTCTTAGAAAAAAAAAAAAACATACAACGTAATGTTCGTTGCAACGGCGTGGCTCTTTCACCGTGGATATTTCAAGTCTTATATATTAATTAATATCTATTTAAAATACATTATAATTACGTTACAAAAAAAATCGAATACCCGTCTAAATATTATTTTATAGAAGAAAAACTATTGTCCTTGCAACTTTACTATATTATACATCTTTTCAGTATGGCAATCGGCTTCTTTTTGTAGCCAGCTTCTGTTTATTGTACGAAAAATTTTATGGAGGGGAATGAAAAGAGTTGGCTTATAAAATTGTAATCAATTGCAATCAATAGAATGTGGCAATATGTGATGATATAAGATTATATGAAGTAAGGTCCCGATAAAATGGTGGAACTTGAAACTTAAATGAACTATTTGTAAGAACAGGATATGCTACGCCCTGCAACTTTGTTTCATGTTTCCATACTTGTGTACTTTGGCAAATACTAAACTGTTAATTAACTTCTATTATTACATGTTTAAATATGAAGAAATATTAAATTAATAAAATAAAACGCTTCATTTCTCCAGTTGTTGCCAGCATTCAACGTCCACCTTGCATTTGGTGCATTGTAATTAATTATCTGTGGTATAGTACATTGTGCACCAAGGGAGAAAAGTAGAACATTTCCTCCCGCGTGTAAAATTGCCACCCGAGCCGAAGGCAAACACGCGGGATGACATGTCCTACCTTTTTCCCGCGGTGCACATACTATTTTTTCTCCTCGTCGTGGCCTAAAGGATAAGACGTCTGGTGCACTCGGATCTAGCGATGCACCGATGTTCGAATCCCACAGGCGGGTACCAATTTTTCTAATGAAATACGTACTTAACAATTGTTCACGATTGACTTCCACGGTGAAGGAATAACATCGTGTAATAAAAATTAAACCCGCAAAATTATAATTTGCGTAATTCCTGGTGGTAGGACCTCTTGTGAGTCCGCACGGGTAGGTACCACCGCCCCGCCTATTTCTACCGTGAAGCAGTAATGCGTTTCGGTTTGAAGGGTGGGGCAGCCGTTGTAACTATACTGAGACCTTAGAACTTATATCTCAAGGTGGGTGGCGCATTTACGTTGTAGATGTCTATGGACTCCAGTAACCACTTAATATCAGGTGGGCTGTGAGCTCGTCCACCCATCTAAGCAATAAAAAATTAAAAAAAAGGGGGGCGGAGCCCTCCCATACTCGTAAAATAACAATTTAACTGTTTGTTTTTTAATTTTTAAATAAACTACTACTAATTGAATAAGAACTGTCTGATGACCTCATGTTTGTTTAATACTTCAGTATTAAATTTTATTGCATTTTGTTTATCTCACTTTTAAACTATAAACACAATATTGCAAATTACCCGAGCACAACAATGGCGGAGTATTTAGGTGCGTGAGAGCAGACGTAGACACTAACGCGCATGCGCACTTGTACCTAGGAAGGAAAAGTTATACTTTCTTCCCTGTACAGCGGGAGGAAAACCGAACTTTCGGTTATTAACTGTTTAGTATCTGTGAAAGTCCACAAATGTAGGAAAATAAAACAAAGCCACAAGACATAACTCCTCGTGGTCCTCGAAAAAGTCCACTGAAAAAGTCTCAGTAAATGTCCACCATTCTACTGAGATTCATCATTCAATTCATCCCATATCATCTCATCTCATTTCATTTCATCTCATGCCATGTTTCATATTAATCAACTTTATTTCATTTCACTTCATATTAGGTATCATTTTTTAAATAATAGGTACGGTATTATATAAGATTAGGCTGTATGGTATGACACCTTTGTCTTTCCAGTTAGAAAATAAAACCACCTATCACTACTGTCAAAAAGTTAGAAATCTTGAAATTTGGGCTAAGTGGACTTGTTTTATATTTATAATTTAAGATTTATAACATCTGTATTTAATTTGTCTAAGAAATTATTACTGCTGTTAGAACATTGCAGTTAGTCATTTAAAATACCAATAAAAAAATTATTAAAAAGAGAAAAAAAGTAATTTTGCCACGAAAGAAAATACTTTGAGTCACAACTCACAATGAAAGTGTACTTAGTTTACTTTGAAATTGCTGGAATCATGTGAAGGGTGAAGATTAAAGTGTCGATTTTTCATTCGTTAAACTGTTAATATTCACTGTGAGATGGCGGAAAGTGGATCATTTGTGGCCAAGCCGGCGCGGGGTTGGTTGCATCCCGACTCAGTATTAGCCTCCGACGGAGTAACGTATGCCGTTAGGGTAAGTCTTCGCGGACACCTCGTTTCAAATTTCAATTTCTTTACTCCACACGTTGTTTCCTGCCGGCCAGAAGCATTTATAATGCAAATAAACAGTAAACAATAAAATATTCAGATTTATATGGTATCTAAATCATTTAAATGTCCTACTGGCTTTGTACTTGTAACTTTTCTGCCTTTCGTTATCATTATTAATCTACAACAGTATCATATCTTTATTAACTCACAACTGTAAACAATTCTACTAATCATTAAATTACTCTTTCTTCTTCTCCGTTCTACAGCCTTCTCCGCTATCTAATCTGTTAAGAAAAAAATCATGTATATTTCAACTTTAAATGTTTAAAAAAATATGCATAGACTATAATTATAGTAATGTATGCCCTTTGTGTTATTTCTAGAGTATTACAATAAGTAGGCTTAAAGAAAGTTTTTTTTATAGGTAATTGCATAGTATGTCTGGGCTATTACTAATGCTCATTGGTGCCATTGATAATCTTCTAGTGCACACACTTGTACTTGGCTGTACACTTGAACACTGACTAAAGCAATATAAAATCTATCTAAAACAAATTAAGCCATATTCATTCATATCAGCAAATGTGTCATCTCTAAAAAATAATTAATTACATTTACAGTATATTGGGTGCATGGAAGTTTTAACATCGATGAAAAAATTAGACTTCGATACCAGATCACAAGTTGCCAAGTAAGTGTTCTACTTGATGTATTATTACTATCAGTAAAAACAATTTAATTTTTATTGGTTTAAATTAGTATGCATTCTCATATTCAGCCTGCTGTGAACCTACTACTGAAACTAATAGATATAACAATGAAAATTTTAGAAACCTTGATACTTTGTGCTCAGTGGTGACCATTTGGTGAGGGTGATGTCCAGCAGTGGACTGCTGTAGGTTGATGATGATACTTCATATCAAAATCTTAATTGCTTTGGAATAATATAATTAATCCTCTCCAATGTACAAAAAGCTATATTTTTAAATATTAATTCTTGTTCAATTTAATTTTTTATCGTAAACTTTTAAATCCTATCCTATGTTGAGATGATAATATTCACTCATAGTTAGGTAATTTATTGATGTCAACATGCTTTTAATACTAATAATCCAAAATTAATGCATTATTTTTCAGTTATCCTCAGTTTAAAATTACATTAGTGACATTTACCTTTGAAGGACTATTTAGCAAAACCTCTAATTATTGTAAAATTGATCAAATCATTTATTTGATATAAAAAAAATATATAACTAATGAGAATGCTGTGATAGAAATAAGTACTTTATTTTACAGCACCATATTACTCATAAGTAAAAAAGACTGTAAGAGTTAAAAAAAAAAGCAAGCATTGTTTTGTCAATCAATATTATAGCAACAGCTATTGTGATTATTTGTGATGTAGGTAAAATTTCATTTTCTCACACTTAAAACGTGAAACAGAAGTAAAATCCATCTATTATAGAGCTTTCACCGGTTGTACTTTCTAGGATTATAACTTGTATCTTTTCACTACTTCAGTATAGCCGTGATAAGTAGTGCCACTCTACGAATCTTGTTTATGTTTCTTAAGTTGTCCTTATCTCTGTATTTCACTACGTTTTCACAGGGGTCATAGGACCCTGTCGGATTTTGATTTCTCATTTACAGCAGTCTTTTTCTACCATGATATGAGAAACTGAGCCTATTTGTTGCCTCAGCCCATTGACTACATGCTGGGATCAAATGCAAAAATGTTTAGTGACTTGTTAAAGATAACAACGCCTACTACTAAGAATGCAGCTATGAATTTTACAATGACTGTCCTATGACAGTCCTATCCTACTATCCAGTATCCAGTACTATCCTAACCATATTACAAACATAAAATTAATTGTTGAAATAAAAGTTACGCTATGTAATTAATTTTCAACAAAAATAAAACCATTTCACATTGTATGTTAGCTGTGATTAATATTAACCAGTATTGTTGATGTTCAGTGACCAGCGGTTATCTTTAGTTGATCTTTTTAGTTTCCATATCGTATGTGTCAACATACAAGGCCGTCATAGATGTTTGAGTAACATGATAAATAATTGTTTTAGGGAATGCATAGCAAGAGTATGTGCAGCCGCAGGTCTTCGTTCGGCGGATAAGAAGCGTCGTGTGTCTCAAGCAGCCGCCCGTGCGCTTACGGCCAGACCGCGCATGTCTCATTCGGGAGCCAATGTCGCCCTAACCGTATCATCGAAGGCAATAACCCTGGCGGTTCTGGAAGGCGGCGACACCATAGCGCGACACGACATGCCCAGAGTATCGTTTGCCTCGGGCGGAGATGCGGATTCGTTAGACTATGTAGCGTACGTGGCCAAATCAGCTCCACCGACGGAATGGAGAGCGTGCTACGTTCTAGAATGCGGTGGAAGACTGGCGCAAGACGTGATAGCGACGATAGGACAGGCCTTCGAGTTGCGTTTTAAGGAATTTTTAACGAAACCCTCGACGTAAGTTGAATATTTTTTAAATTTTAATATGCGACTAATGTGGGTCATCCGTTCATTCAATGTAAATTACGTAAATTAACAAGCAATGTGAAATGTAAATGTAAAAGAAAATGTCAAAGCTCAAATGTATTGTTAGAGAATTTTGAATTGTAAAAATATCAGTACAAAGATATTCTGCGAAAGTCCAAGTGTATACTGGACCATATAAAGCTAAAGCTCCATGTGTAATGAGTCATAATTTGAAAGTTTTCCTCATATGAAGTCATCATTGCTAATATACCAATTTCTGTCACATAGTCTGTCTGACCCGCTTGAATTATAGCAAAGGTATTGTGATCATGAATGATTACAAATGATTGCTTTATCATAATGTTATTCATTTTAAAACCAAATAGACACAATGTCCCGTGAATAATAAGCTATTGGATAATCTATTAATGTGGATATTATATTATTTTCGTGAGGGATTTCCAAGGGAGATTAATAATGGGAATGGTTTCTGTACCATGTCTATATTAGCTATGACGTAATTCGTGCAAACTGTACCATGTGAAACGAGAAATAAATTATCTAAACTAACGTTGCTTCTAAATAAATTAAAATAAAATATAGTTTATCATCATTAGATAACCTTGAACCATTTGTATTATCAACGCAAACTTATGTCCGTAAGCATTCATTGAATTCGATGAGTAACAATCATGCAGTATCCTTAGGTATTTATGAATCACTCATTCAGAACTTGTTAGGAAACGTATTATGTCCTGCAAGAATTCTGTGTGTATTATGTGTAAATGCGAACTGTGGGCACTGAATTTGCGGAAGACTAGTCACAATCGACCAGCAACACTGTATTAATAGCAGGGTGTTTCATTCGCCTGCAGGGTATGCTAACATCGCTCGTCTAGCTATCTCTGCTTAGAAACCACCTTGCGTTCCCGCTTAAGTTTGGGATTGGGTATTACTATAAGCCAATAGACGTTTTAGTGGTAGATGTCATCATCCTGCTTATTTCTGCCGCGAATCGGTTATTCGCTCCGGTTCTAAGGGTGGAGCAGTCGTTGACTTTAAAGTTGAAACTTGAAGTCGTTTCCAATGTAACTGGTTAACACTAGTGAAAGCTGCGAAGTGCTGCCACCTGTTTACTTCGAATCGGTTCGCATTATTCTTTTTCGATAAATACATCACTACACATACCGAAACACATACAAATTTTTTTTTATTGCCCTTGTAGGCAGACGAGCATACGGTCCACCTGATGGTGAGTGGTTACCGTCGCCCATGGACTTCAGCAATGCCAGGGACAGAGCCAAGCCGCTGCCTACTGCTTAATATTCTCCACAAGCCTCGTTTGAAGAAGGACATGTCATAGCGCTCGGGAAACACCGTGGAGGGGAGCTTATTCCATAGCCGGATGGTACGTGGCAAAAAGACCTTTGGAAACGCACTGTGGATGACCGCAGTGGCTCCAGGTAGTATAAAATAATAATTCGCGACACCATCACTGACCTTGAAACAATAGGTCAAGACGACTGTCCGAGTTTCAGATAGTGAGACCTATTAAAAGATCATCCCCCTAGTTACGCACCATAAATATATCGTATTGTAATGTTTCCAACAGATTAAATCTCAATGGATCTCTGCCCAGCTGCGAAAGCGCTTGTGGGCTAGTGGAGGACAGAGAGTATTACAACGACATGCCGGACAAGGTGCCGCCCGAGCTGGCGCCGACTTCGCACCGCCACCCCCCGCCCCCGCCCCTTGCCTCGCTGACGTCACTCGCACCGCTCTCCTCGTACGTAAAAGATCAATTAAAAACATCGAACTGTTAATACCAAATAAAACGCACCTTTAATAATATTATAAAGTTAAATTTCGCGTATTAAGCGAAATGTCACTTAAGCCCTTCAACCCTCAACTCCCTTTAACTCATTTTCGAACACCCAAACTCGTGATTGATTTTTTGTTTCGGGTTCGTACGCGTATATCCAGGATTCCTCACCTGATACAATGTTGTATACAGCATTTGAGGATCCTGCGTGGAATCTTTCGAGAGTTCTGACGCACCAAGTAACGCGAGCCGCTTTTTGCTCTTCACAGAGCGAATGCGGTATCTATCGGGAAAACAACTTTTTTACACCTAATTGTTCATGCAAGATTATTTGTATTTGACTCATGCCAATGTCTAAAGTTGCCTGAATTTCGCGGTATGTCACATGTCGATCTTCCTCAATCAGCTTACGCACAGCATCAACGTTTTCTTGGGTGACTGCAGTTTTTGGACGACCTTGACGGGGATCATCACTGAGCTTGACACGTCCACGTTGAAACTCAGCAAACCAGCGATAAATTGTGGTTTTGGATGGGGCTTCGTCACCAAATGCAGAAATCATCCGGTCAACACACTGTTTTTGTCTTAAACCACTTCGAAAGTCATAATAAATCATCGCTCTTGAATTTTCTCGAGTCAATTCCATTTTCTCAACGACTAAACAAGTTTGACAAAACCTCGTGACAAGACCGAGAATCTTTTTTTAAATAAATAAATGATATTCGATTTTTAAAACCAAGGAGATTTCGATTAAAAAGATTTTAATATGACAGGAACAGTGGAAATATTCCATTCCCGATACTTTTAGTGCAGCCCTCGTATAATAATAGTGAATAGAGAAGAATTTAATTCGACACGCCACGTAATCGATATATTTTAATTTGAACGTTACAATTCAGTAACAATTCAATTGGGACTTGAAGCTCGTGGTGTATAATGGATGGCAACATTATTGATGTGTCGTATGGTAGCGCTGTATATAGCTTGGTTTTTTTTTTTCGAAGTCCAGTGAGATCTCAGTTACGGGTTACCATTTCAGTGAAAAGTCACTTCATTCCAACTAATTTTACTTCTATCCTTAAAGATATAGCTTCAGTCTAAGAATATAAAAGCTTTGGAATTTTAAGCTATATCAAAAATAATGTAGCTTCTATTTCTAGAGCTGATAAAGAAAATAAGTTTAATGAGTTTTTTTTTCGATTCCATAATAAAAACTAATAAAGCTATGGACTGTGTGTCGTGCCATATTAAAATTAACAATACAAAGTATTATTGTTATTTGCAACGTATTATTATTTTACTATTATTATACTTATCCCTTAGGCCACGACGACTTCGACTGGTGTTAAGTGATTACCGGAGCCCATAGACATCTACAACGTAAATGCCGCCACCCACCTTGAGACACGAGTTCTATGTTCTCACTTTTAACAGTACAACGGCAGACCCGCCTTTCAAACCGAAACGCATTACTGCTTCACGGCAGAAATAGGCAGGGCGGTGGTACCTACCCGCGCGGACTTACAAGACGTCCTGCCAACATTAATTAATAATACTATTTGCAGGTGCGAGGAAAGCGTAAGGCACTACGTGAACCAGACCCCGCCGCCGCGGACTCCGCCCACCGCGCTGCTGCCGAACCACCACACGGACATTTTTGACATGCGTACGTTAACACCTCGGCATAAGGACGCGTTTGCGTTTTGCGACCCGCATTCGTGTTTTGTTTTTATTGAGTAAGCGCGGGTGTCAGTTGTAGCTGGATCCTACGGACCTGAGAACCTTAACGCCGCCGTCCATCTGAAGATACAACTCTTTGACGGGAACTCGAAGAGTGAAGTTGTGTGATTTGTTTTATTTTGTCTATTTAGTGTTTCTTCAGGTTTAAACGGGTAATAACGGTGGTTTATTAACTGTTTAATATCTGTGAAAGTGCACAAATGTGGGAAAATGAAACAGCCGCTGGACGTAACTTCTCGGGTTCCTCCAAAAAGTCTACTGAAAAAAAACTCAGTAAATGACCACCATTTCATTATCAACTCATTTCATTTTATTTCACTTCACTCTCATTTTTAATAAAAGACATGACTTAAAGGTCTTAGTTACCAGGTCATAACATCCCTTTTAAAAAAACCTAGAGATACAAGGTCGAAGTTTCAATTGAATTATATAACGGTTGACACGTCCCGCTAAGGCATGGCTGCAGAAATACGCCCTCCAGTGTTAGATCATCACCTCACGTCGTGTTTCAGAACCATTCACGGCGGCTCCGGTCACGTCGTCGTCGTCCTCTGTGACGTCGGGCACGTCCGCGTCCGCCGAGTGCGCGCCGCTGACTGCCGAGGCGCAGGCCGCGCTGCTGGCGAAGGAGCCTTGGTTCCACGGACCTATTTCTAGGACTACTGCTGAAAAGGTCAGTTTAATTATTATTTTTATTTTACTGGATGTAGGACCTCTTGTGAGTCCGCACGGGTAGGTACCACCACCGTGCCTATTTCTGCCGTGAAACACTAATGCGTTTCGGTTTGAAAGGTGGGGCTGCCGTTGTAACTATACTGAGACCTTAAAACTCATGTCTCAAGGTGGATGGCGGCATTTACGTTGTAGATGTCTATGGGCTCCAGTAACCGCTCAACATCAGGTGGGCTGTAAGCTCGTCCACCCATCTAAGCAATAAAAAAAAATTGCTAGTAGGACAGATGTTACTACCCTGCGTTCCACTGCCCTCATGAGTTCCGACCTTCTTTCTTCTTCTTCTCCATCGCTCCCTCGTTGCTGAGGATCGTGACTCCGTTTTAGCTTGTCGACTGTCAGTCTCCATCGGTTCCGGTCAGTTGCCTGGTGTAGTGCAGCGCTAAGTGGTCCGCTGGTTTGCTCGGAGATCTGGTCGGACCAACGGTTGGGGCTCCGGCCTCTAGGACGTTTTCCTTCTACTCTCCCAGTGACCATCAGACGTTCCAAGTTGTCTACACCTCTGCGGGCAACGTGGCCAAAGTAGCGCATTATGCGTTGCAGACAGGTGGCAGACAGGCGTTGAGCGTTCTCCATTTTAAGCTGATGTAGGACCGAGATGTTCGTGCGGTGGGCTGTCCATGGAATCCTTAATAGGCGGCGCCAGCATCACATTTCAAAAGCATCAAGTCTGTTTCGGTCAGCTGCTTTTATGGTCCATGTTTCTGCTCCATAGAGAGCGATTGGAAAGACCAGTGAGTGCACAAGATGTATTTTGGTCCTATTCGAAATATTACGATCTTTCCAAACTTTGCTCAACTGCGTCATAGCTGTTTTAGCCATTCCAATACGTCGGCGTATTTCCTTATACCAAGGTAGACCAGTTTGTCTACCTTGGTTCTGTGATCACGGATTTGATTTTCATTTTGGTCGACCTAAATCATTAAAATTAACCGCATGGGACTCTTTTGAGGATTTTACCTCATGTCTATGAGCTCCAGTCATCACTTGACACTAAGTAGACCGTGACATTCGTCAGTGTGCGTCAGTCTGTTTCCTTTCGTTTGCCACTATGGGCGCTGTTCCAACTCTATACAAATTTAATATGTCTATAAGTCTATGATTAGAGTAGACTATAGAGTCAGTTGTCATACTGTTAAAATCATTGTCATCTGCAGTGCTGCCATTACAATTATTTAGTAATTTAAGTACTAATTGTAACAAAGGATAATTAATATTATTATTTATCATTTTAAATATAATACATTATGAAAAAATAAAAAAAAAATACTGCTTTTTTGTGGCGATAATATTAGTGCCATCCATTACAAATGTATTAAACCCGAAGTACACAAAAATCGAATTAAAAGCTTATTAAATTAACATTTTTTCGTGGCTTTGCCACGTAAATCTAACATCGTATAAAAAACGAGCAAATAAAATAGTTAAGTTTCGTTTATGTCTTAATCTAAGACGCCTTTTAAAACATTCAGGTAAAAAATTGCCATTCTTCTTTGTTTCAATCGGATACCTATGTGATTAAAGATACATTCAATATTGATTGCAGTTGGTAGTTGAGGATGGCGAGTTTTTGGTGCGCGAGTCGACGGCGTGCGCGGGACAGTTCGTTCTGACGGGCGCCAGAAGGGGTCTGCACAAACATCTACTACTCGTCGATCCTATAGGAGTGGTAAGTCCCGAGATCCATCTGACAATCAACAGCAATTCCAAATCAATTGTAACGGTAGGCAGCGACTTGACTGTGCCTCGGGCATTGCTGATGTCCATGAGCGACGATGACCACTCACCATCAGGTGGGCTGTATGATCGTCTACCTACACGGGCAATAAAAAAGCTCGTATAGCTTTTTTCCATAGACGCGGCAACTGAAATCAGCTGTCTCAGTCGACATTTAGGGTTTGCGAGTACAATTTAATGTACCTATATAACTAAAGTATTAAAAACAAATTAATTCGGCCGATAAAGCTCTGACATAAAAGCACTTAAAGTTTGTGGTCGGGATTCAAACAGGATGCTCTATCCATCTCCCGTAAACAGAATGTTGGTATGAAAATTGCAAGAAGAATGTGAACATTGACGTCATAATTCATTATAGCTCTCTCGGACTATGTTTTTTTCTTGATTTGCTGTATTTATGTTCACCTTTGATGAGCCAATATTATTCCTCAAATGCATGTTTAAATCACGAATATAAGACGCGAGCTCATATATACTGCCTGTAACTAATGCGTGCATTCTCATTAGGTACGAACTAAAGATCGGGTGTTCGACAGTGTGCCTCATCTAATCAAGTACCACTGTTCTAACGAGCTGCCCATAGTCTCAGCGGATTCCGCTCTACTACTCCGTAAGCCGGTCCTCAGGTCGTCTTCCTGAGACTTAAAGATAATCTACGTTGACTACAGAAAGTTAACATTCCACAAAAACTAAAAAAATGTATTCTAACAGTATTAAAACGCTAATAATAAAATGTTTGTCTAATGACATTGAAAAATTAGAGAGTAAATAATGATATAATCAAATATAAATAAACAAATAAACGTGGAATATAAAGACTAAAATATAATAATAGGTATGAATATAAAAATGTCTTAGCTTATCGAAGAATTTAATGATTTTTTTTATCCAACAAATATATGTAATGCTCTTTGACATATTCTAAATATGTAGTAATAATAGTAATTGCACTAAATTTAATATACATTGATGATTCTTTGTTTATGCATTAATTATTTTAATTGTACTAAAGAACGTTATTTTATGAACTGTTTTATTAAGGTTCACCATATCTTGACAATTATTTAAAAATTCGGTCCTAAACCGTAATTCCCTTCACTATGTGAACTATTTATTTGTTATTATAAACGAATATAAAGATGCAACATGAAATAATTTTAAAAAGTTTAGTGCGTCTTTTTTTACGTTTCAAACGTTTGCTATAAAATTTCGTGCAAATAACCTTCTGTTCTATATAAAATTATGACTCAATAGTTGTTTTATACTCATTATTTTAAGCATTAACACTGTACAGGAATTGACAAGTTAGATAAATTGTATTTAATAAATATTTTAACATTTCTTATACACAGACCATAAACAAAGTACTTATGTTATAAATGAATTTCTACAATAATCTATTAAGACTTTAAAATGCATAAAGGAAATATTTTTAATGTTATCAAATTTGAAATTAAATATAATGAATTTAATATGTCATGATAATTATCATGATATAGATAAAAGGCCCGAAATGAATATTATTATTTTTAAATAATCATATCTTAACCATGACCATCGAAACAATATGATCAATTCTCAATATCATAATAAAGTATGTTACTTATATATTTTAGTAATCAAATTATGTACATCGGTTCATCTTTTAAAATAATGTACTGATGTTTATGTTCTTATGTTAAATTTGTGGAAGATGTAATAAGCATTATGTATTTTAGTATGTTATACACAGAAATATGTACTTACCTGGCTGTTTGGTATTTTCTTCTGCAAGCTCATAAGGGAGTTCTGCCGTGTTTACAAAAAAATTATCAGCAAATAAGTGATTAAATTTTAGTGATGTAATAGTGAATAAAACAATCTGTTTCGGATACTGTTTTAGATATATTATAGTAAATTAAATCTTTTTAATTAGATATAAAAAATAACCATGACCTGTGAAATTATGGAATTTTGTAAATGCATCTGAATGTGCTAATATGGCTGTAATTTATATATTGATGTATTTGTAACGAGTATAAATGTGACTTTTAAAAAACAATGCAATCTTGTAATATTAAATATGTGGTTTTAAATGATAGGTGCTATGAAATGGCTTACAAAAATTCTGAAAATAGTAGGAATAAACAAAAAATTATATAACGCATCACAAAATTTCTTACTTTTTGTAATTATAAAATGCGTTTAGCGTTGTAGGTATAAAAACCAAAATCGTAATTATAAATGCTTTAATTATCATTTTATTTCCCATATTTCATATATGTTAGTTTATAAGAGATCCCTATTGTGAACGCACATGTAGAATTTATTCGAAGTTATTATAGCAATTCAAGTTATAGCGTACGTTACGAAGGTACATAGTATAAAATCCAATATATCTTGTGTATCTGACTCACTAATATTTAACGGTAAGAAGAGACTATAATCATTTTAACCACTGACATAAACGTGCTGTTATGATTTTTTTTTTAAAAGTTAAATTGAGCCTAATAATTTCAGTGGGAAACCATTTTAAGGAAAATATATTTTAGTAACTACCTATTTGTTTATATATGAAAAGAATACCCTTATTGAATATTTCTTGTACTTTACAGCAAGATACTAGAGACGTGCAATCAGAAAATATTGTTTTTATTGATTTTTAATATGCAACAATGTATTGAGCTTTATTGTTCCAAAAATATTATTGAACTGCTTCGTAACGTACTATTTAAAATGTATTTTACGTATAAATTGTGAACTCAAAATGTTAATCGACATTATAATGAATTAGAAAAATAAAAGTATATTTTAAAATATTAGACATTTATGTTTAATTACCGAGAATTTCATTTGAACAAACTCTTATAAATAAATTACATGATACTTAAGTTTTACAAGAAAACACAACCTCATGATACTTTTTCTTTATTAAAAAATTTAATATTACAGTATAAACAGTAAGGTCATACATGGCAGTGATGTTTAATTACTTATAAATATATCGGCATCATATACACTCTGGCCAACTTTCCATTCTCAACTCTACTCTACCGTCGACACTTCGAATTAATTTACAGCAACATTGAAATCTCACAACATATCAATAAAACTTCAAGAAACAAACAACAAACGTTTAGTGCCGAGATAGAGTAGCTACTGCCGACCCTGGGCTTACTCCTATTCATCCTACGTTATACCAATCCATGAACAAAATTAATATTGACTAATTTCATTAAAGTCCAAACAGTCGATAAAATAAAATAATGTCAGATCCCAAAAACGTCATTACAAGTTCAGAAACAAGACTGCATTACAATCTCCCGTCCTCGGTCCTCGACAACGGCTCACGAGAGTTACTTTCTTTGGGACATCGTGGCACATCTCATCGGCCCTGCTAAAACGCAGAATCTCATTCTGTGCAATACGCCTACAACTACTATTCGCTAAATCTGTCTAGTAAAACCAAAGTCACAATACGATAAAATAAATAAATATGCCTCTATACAAAATAAACACATAATGAACACGTCCAAAACCTCAAGGGCTGGCTCCAACTCCCGGGCTCGATACACTACCGACGGCCATCCGAACATCCGAACGCCTGCACTATTACTCTTCTAACCGACAATTGACTCTATTCTTATTTTAATTCTCACACAATTACAAAAGTGATCGAGGAGCGTAAATGTTAAAAATTACTTTGTATCACCAAAAATATTACTGTTCAACATATTCTAAATTCACGATTCGTGTAGCAAAATAGATCGCGATCTTCGGCTACGTTAACTATTACATATTTTGGTCGAAAAGGCGAAGCCGGGACCGCCGCTTCGACCGAGGCGGCCATCCGGCGGACATAATACTGCATCCAAGTGCGGAACCGCGGGGCTCCCGGCGACAGTACCGGCACTGCGCCGCTCAGTCCGGCGGCAGCGCGGCGTGCGCCCCCAGCGGCGCCGGCCGGTGCAGTGTGAACGCGTCGTACACCTGCGCCAGCTCGTCCATGTGGTGCTCCTCCAGGCACAGGAACCCTTGCAGCGAGGGGCTGGCCCGCCGCGCGCACTGCAGACAGTGCACCACGTGGCGCCGCTCGTGCTCGCGCACCAGCAGCGCGTGCCACACCTCGCGCTCGCACGCGCCGCAGTAGTGCGACGCCTCGCCGCGCGCGCGCCCGTGGAACCGTATCGGCATCCCGCGCGCGCGCACCGTGTTCAGCGTGCCCGTCGCGGCCCGGAGGGTCTGCATCAGACATGTGCGCATCGCGCGGTGCAGTCGTGGATCCGAGACGCGGATGTTCCGCGCCAAATTCCACGTAAGGTGTACCATTGGCACTATGGACTTAAAGTTCTGCACCTTGTTCCACTCGTATCTCTCGAGTGCGAGCGTGTACTGGCGCGCCGTCAGCGGTCCCACGTTCCAGGCGATGTTGTTGCACCAGCCGGTGGCCTGCACCCAGTGCACGCAGCCCGCGTTGACCCACACGAGGTCGCCGGGCCGCTGCGTGAAGCGGTACACGGGCACGCCGTGCGCGCGCAGCTCGTCGGGGTCGGGCCACCAGGAGCCGTGCAGGTACGAGAGCCCGTGTCTCTCGCACAGCTCCCGCACGCCTCCCCAGTACGCGTCCGGAACGCCGAACCACTCGCAGTCGCCGGGGCCGATATTAAGGTTGATAGAGCAAAAGTTGTTATTTTCTTGATGTCCTGGTGTGCGACTGCCGGGCACCTTCATGTACAACTGCACAGTGTTCATGCCGAGGATGACGTGTCCGACGTGGGAGAGCATGTTGGCGGCGGAGGCGACGCGCGCAAACGCAGGAAGCTTCTGGAGCTCCGCGAGCTGCGGGCGCCACTTGCGTTCGTCTGAGAGGTCTACGTTGGTACCGAAGCGGAGCATGCGGGCGGCGCGGCGGCGCTTGGCGGGACCGGAGTCCGAGTCGGACAGCGGGGCGGCGCGCTCCCGCTCCTCGCGCAGAGACTCCTGGAACGAGCCGGCCTGGTACTGCGCGTACTTGCGCACGGTGGTGTGGGAGCGGTGCGAGGCGCAGGCCCACACGCGGCGGCGCCCGGTCGCGTCCCAGTTCTCGTCAGCGGACTGCATGAGCTGCGTGCGCACTTCGACCGCGTGGTCGGGCCACGCCTCCACTAGTGTCTTCGTCGAGAACAGTCCGAGGTCGAGTTTAAGAGCGGCGGTGAGTCCGCGCACCACGGCGATGGGGTGTTTCAGGCAGAAATCTTGCAGCTGCGGCGAAAAGGCTTCGCGCTTGGACTCTACGTACACGAAAGGAGCGGGGGGTGCGAGTTGTTCGGGGGAGAGACGCGGTGGGGGGACGGAGGGAGGCTCGGGGGGACCGCACCCGTCTCCGAGTACCGACCAAGAGGTCGCGGGACCGGCATTATCTCTGAAAAATACATAGAAGGCAAATTTAGTTTTGATAAAAAATAACGCAAATTCTAAACAGTATCCTGATTTCAATACTCACTTGCAAGCCTCGAGAATCTGTTTGGAGTTCATACCGATGTGGAATGTAACGGGTTTAAGTGGATCCGTCTTGAGCGGCTCGAGTTTGACGACGGGTTGTCTGCCGCATAATACTGCCTCATTGCCGCTCGAGTTGCTAGTGTTTGTATCGGCTGTAGATCAGATTGATAATGGTTTAAATAAACATGAGAAATACCGTTTACATCCTATCTCAATGCTAATTTTGAACTAACACATGTGATGGTTAATTATTCAAAACATTTCATATGAGATGTACCGCAATTTAATAATTAAAAAGCTTTTATATTTATAATAAATTAATTTAACTTTAGGCTGTTATCTTTTATTATTGTAATTATACAATTAATTTGTAATCTATTCATGGTACCCAGGTGACTGTCGATCACTAATGATATGTCGGCGCAATGTCACTCTTTAGTTAACTAAGATTACTTAACTTGTTTAACTGTTTCCTAAATGTTCTTTGATTCCTTGCGCATGTAAAGAACTGTTTAGCCCCACTATTCTACTATAAATATCTCTCTAAGTCACTATTGTCACATAAAACACAGCCCACTGAGTTTCTCGCCGGAACTTCTAAGTGGGTGGAGTTTCCGATCCAGTGGTAGATTCTGCGAAGCACGGCTCTTGCTAGGGTTAGTGTTAGCAACGTCATCACGTTTGAGCCCCGTGAGCTCACCTATTAATTCGGCGAATCTAGTATAACCCCTCGAAGTTAATAGAAAAGGGAAGAAAAAAAACGCGTAAAACATTTCAGCTCGAGCATTCGAACGGAGCGGAGTTCTCTGCTGTTATCGTTGCACACTTGAAATGTAATAAATGGAATTCGTTGGGAAACGGAGTCTTAATTACTGTCGCTATGGAAGGCAATGATAATGATTTAGAGAATGGCGTCAGCANAAAAAAAAAAAAAAAAAAAAAAAAAGCATACATTGCTCACATACTTATTCAACTGATGAAAGGTTAAAATAATGAAAGCACCTCCAGAGATTTAAGAAATGACCTTATAAAGAAATGTAATTTACGTAAAATCGCATTTTCTTCAGTGAAGACACCTAATAAACATTAAAATAATCAAACCCTATCTATCTATTTAGAAAAAAGTGGATCCAAATAATTTATATTTTATTAAACTTACTCATCTATAGGCCTATATTTCGAAATAATTACAACAGTAAGTTATTCAGTCTCGCTGTTATTTCGATAGTGAATTGACACAACAATGACAATTTACAACCATTCTTGTGTACTATTTTTATATTGAAAGTTTTAATTCAACAAATTAATAATCGAAAGAGTTTTCACTTTCACTTCCAATTATCAATATTCAATTATTAAGTAGTAGTAGTAGTAGAAAAGTTTTTTTTAGATTTTCGTTAGATACAAATCAAAATAACAAAAGAAAAAAAAAATACAAACAGCCTGCATTAGTAACATAATTTATGACCTTGTAATGTAATTTGCCACAAGTATTCTAAATTTAAAATGGTAACCGAGTCCGACAACTCTAGTGTATTGATATGGTAACACTTAAAAAAAAAACGAGTCACGAATAATTAAATAATTACTTGATAAATAATGTATGTATTCAAATTAAGATTTTTTATTTTATTTTATGTCGACGCTTGTCCTTTCCATCGTACGTGTAATGCTTAGTTTACATTCCACCTCGGGTTAAGTGGTCGTTCAAGTAATTACATATATTATTATATAAGTAAGAAGAAACAAGGAGTTTTTCTTCCTTCTGCTGACAAAAAGCTAATTAACTCTTATAGATTATTATTATAGATATACCTGTATTTATTCTGTAGGTTTTTGTCACTGAATTATTGAAAACACACACGACTATTTTATTCGACAATTATATCCGCTAGGCGGCGCTGCGTTTGGGTTTAATTTTTTTTTAAGACAGCAGAGTTTGTAGGACTAGAAGGTATTGGCATACCTTCTAGTCCTGCAAAACAATATGCAAATTATTTAAGTATTTCCAATGCAATTGTTATTTAATTCATAATATAGATATCAGCAGAAGTAAGTATACTGCATTCTATAGTGATTAATGGTTTGGATTAATGGATATTTCCGGTTTTATTTTGTACATTATCGTATTAATTAATTCTGTTAAAATTAATTTGTGAGTCGAACATGTAAATTCATTATAAAACAAATAGATAATTTAAAAAAAAGGTTGATCTGGTTCATACCAGAGTTGGCGTCAAGAAGGAACATCACACCCCCACTGTCCCACACTCACCATTTAATGGTGGTCACGTCATAAATCGTATTGTGCATGGTTTTTTGTCTATTACGAACTACTACCACGATATACTTTGACTGGTTAAGTTACTAATTTAAGGACGGATCCTTAAAATTCTATAAATTTTAGATCGCAGATTACTGGTGGCGGTAGGACGTCTTGTGAGTCCGCACGGGTAGGTACCACCACCCTGCCCATTTCTGCCGCGAAGCAGTAACGCGTTTCAGATTGAAGTTTCAAGCCGCCATTTTCTCAAGGTGGGTGGCGGCATTTACATTGTAGATGTCTATGGGCTCCGGTAACCACTTAAAACTAGCGTTGTAAGCAATAAAAAAAACATTTATAAGTAATACTAATTTTAATTAGAGCCATAAATAATATTTTAAACGGCTTAAAAAGTAAATAAATATCACACACCCAGGCAATTAATGTGGTAAATAAATAAACGCGCAGGTGGGAACAAGCGCTTCGGACACTCGGAACGAATGTACTGCTGCGTTCATAATCTAACGGATTCATCGACTATAAAGCCAGATATGTAAATTGTTAACGGAAATATTAACTCGTAGGGTCCGTGGATTGATGATAGTTTATTTATTTATTTAACTAAGTACTAATATTATTTTTTATGTTATTGCTTAGATGGGTGGACGAGCTCACAGCACACCTGGTGTTAAGTGATTACTGGAGCCCATAGACATCTATAACGTAAATGCCCCACCCACCTTGAGATATAAGTTCTAAGGTCTCAGTATAGTTGCAACGACTGCCCCACCCTTCAAACCGAAACGCATTACTACTTCACGGCAGAAATAGGCGAGGTGGTGATACCTTCCCGTGCCGACTCACAAGAGGTCCTACCACCAGTAAAATTATATTAATTTAATATCGCCGCGATTTTCTTTAAAATTTCCTTTAAAATGTCTTATACAGGGTGTTCAATTTAATTGTCTGCTTGAACGTCCAATGGCTTTTTCCTCGAAGGGTTATTCAGCTTCACCCATCTAGTAGGTGAGCTCACGGGGCTCAAACATGAAGACGTTTCTAACACGAACCCTAGCAAGAGTAGGGCTTCGCAGAATCTACCACCGGATCGGAAACTGATACCCACTGAGAAGATCCGACGAGAAACTGAGTGGGCTGTGTCTGTGGGTTAATTGACTACTAATACTAACTACTAATAATAATAGAACGATGACCGGGGTCCAATGGCGCCGTCTAACTTGATATTCCATTGACACAACTACTTGTATGTTTTTTGAAGAGAATTTTACTTGTATTAATTTCGAAACACGAAACTCTACTTACAGCTGATCGGTTCCTTCTTGATCTCAGGCTGTACGTCAGAGAACTTCTTCAGTAAATCTTCGGCAAGCGATTCCGTGGTGTCGCTGCCGGTCGTGCTGCCGCTACCTTCCTGTTTCGTCACCTGTACATTCAACATCGTATCAATATTGAAATAATCGAACACAACACATCGAACGTGGGTACACCTGCCGCCAATAAAATAGGGAAACTAAAACTATAATGTTTAACGTTGAAATAGTTACAACACTACAAACCGCACGAGTTTTTGCTGCCTGAGCGAGACGGTACTGCGATAAGAGCTGCTGCATCAACGCCTGAGGGAAAATGTTTCAATTAAATTTTCGAAATGAACATATTTCTCAAGTTTATACTATGATAGTAATAAGAAATTATCACACATACTGGATATGACAATATAATTCAGAAAAATTATTATGCAAAAATGTAATTAGTGTTCGAACACATAACGGTGTTTTTTGCGCAAGCCAGTCGCCAGTTCATTCATTATTCACGAATCCATAATATTAGCAGGATTCTTTCATTTTTTAAACCTAACATTTTAATGTTATCATTGTCGTAGAGTAATAATATCATTATAACACCGATTTTACACTTGAAAGCTGTTTAGTTCTTCTACGATGACCAATTTAATGTGTTCTCATGAGAATTACTTTAATTATGATAGAATGGTTAAAACTAAAAAGAATTGAGTTTGGGAATTCTTTAGTTAAATACCAAAATTGAGAGACTCTACGGGAATATTCTACGGGACAGTTTTGTATCTTCTTTGTCTCCACCTTATCCTACTAGGTGGGGGCGGCACAGCTATTTTTTTTTCTTCCATTATCTTCTATCAGCCGTCATCTCAACACTCACTCCTCTCTCTCTCTCATATCATTATTCACACACTCCGTCCATGTCTTCTTCGGTTGACCTCTTCCCCCTCTACCTTGCACTACAATTTCCATACCACGCTAATCGTCCGCTCTTTGACTTGTTAATTCCTTATCTTGTCCGGGACAGTTTTGGATGATGCTTTGAAATGATATGTAAAGAGTATGGTTAGGTACTTGTTGCTGAGGGGTCAGGTTGTGGGAGTTTTTCTGCAGATAGTGCAGCGTGTGTAGCTGGTGTTGCGAGAGCTCGTCCCGCTTTCCCGGGTAGGGGGGCGGCGCGGACTTGGGCGCCCGGGACGACATCTCCGCGGAGATCGGAAGGTTCCAGGCCTCCTCGATGGAAGGCAGCTGACGTCGCCTGTAAGCGTGAGCGCGTCGTAACATCGCGTGTGCGTTATACACATCGACCCTTGAAAGGCAAACGTGACTAAGCGACAATGCGTGAACTTTACAGTAGACTAATTTAAAGTTGAAATACCTGAAAAAAAATCTATTTTAACGAATCTAGCTGTAGGATGGAAATGATTTTAATAGACCTAGAAATATATTTTTTTTGCGCATCGAATATGGTTATTGCCTATCATTTATGTACAAAGCAGTTATTGTCGCTTAGTCACGTTTGCCTTTCAAGTGTCGACATGTATGTTCGTTGCACGTCACTTAACGATTTACATAAAAATTCCAACAGAACACACACACACACAACAACAAAAACTTTTCTTATCAATAACAAAAGTAATTAAAACCGGCTTCTGCAGTCAAGCACAACACAAGTGAATAAAAAAAAAGAAAATGCGCAATTACATTAATTTGAAAGACATATATTCCTTCCAGCTATTCCTACACATAAAAACTAAACTAGTTAACCGATTTTGATGAAATTTCTATAGGACCAACCTCAAGGTGTATTCTTTCATGTAACGAAAAAATTTCGAAATTCCGATACATAATTGAGGGAATTCTGTTGTTAACAACCACAACAAAAGATGCAACTGAATTGAGAACCTCTTCCTTTTTTGAAGTCGGCGAAAAATACATGTTAGGCTACATTCTCCTTTCTAATGACATTTAGCATCTTTACGATTTAACATTTATTCAATTTGATGAATAAATACAATCGAATGCATTTTATCTCTCTTCTAATTATAGCACTTAGGCATCATTATACGATTGATATGATACGTTCATATTGCATTAATACACATATTATGTACAATATACAGTGGGTTTCGTCTATTTTTGTTTCCGAGTTTTGGTCACATATTTTTAAAATCTTAATTAGTATGGCACTTTTGGCTGCCATAACTTATTGCCCTTGTAGGCAGACGAGCATACGGCCCACCTGATGGTGAGTGGTTACCGTCGCCCATGGACTTCAACAATGCCAGGGGCAGAGCCAAGCCGCTGCCTACCGCTTAATACTCTCCACGAGCCTCGTTTGAATAAGGACATGTCATAGCGCTCGGGAAACCGTGGAGGGGAGCTCATTCCATAGCCGGATGGTACGTGGCAAAAAAGATCTCTGGAAACGCACTGTGGATGACCGCAGTGGCTCCAGGTAGTATGGATAAACTCTACTCCGGTGGCGAGCGGTGCGATGGTAAAAACGAGATGCCGGTATCATCTCGAATAATTCCTCAGAGCACTCCCCACAGAACATACGGTACAAAATACAGAGGGAACCGAAGTCCCTCCGCAGACCCAGAGTTTCCAAACGATCCGTGAGCCGACAATCCGAACGGCTCTCCTCTGTAGGGAGTCAAATGGAAGAAGCTGGTATTTGGGAGCCCCGGCCCAGAGATGGGAGCAGTACTCCACACGAGGCCGGACTTGTGCTTTATAAAGCAAAAGCCTTTGTTCAGGCGTGAAGTACCGCTTCGCTCTGTTGAGGACTCCCAGCATTTTGGACGCCAACTTGGCTTTGCCTTCCAAATGACTCCGAAACTGGACGTCGCTCGAAATGTCGACCCCAAGTATCCCGTTACTCTTGGAAGGTTTCAGGGATACTCCTTGGAATTGCGGCGCCATGACAAAGGGGTCCTTCGCAGTGAACGCGCAAACTTGTGTCTTTAACGGGTTGAATTGAACCAAGTTCAATTCACTTCATTTATTTAACTGTCATATTAACTGAAATTTAGATTTGTTAAATCAGTTATGTAGGGTTACCATGATGATATCTTCCCGATAATAATTCAATTTATCTTGATAATTTTGAGTACTGTCAGCGGAATACAAACGACAATCTGTTTTTCTCTGTTATTCTGCTGCTGCAGTAACAGAAGCGTTGAACCCTTACTAATGATATAACAAATAAAATTTTAAATGACCACAAACAAATTAAACTCAAAAATTGATGAAAAATTCAAAAGTACACATTGAATGATGACATTTTTTTTATTTGTTAAGAGTAGTAAACCTAGAAAAGTACAAAGAAATATTTCTAAAAGTACACGCGTTTAGGCTTGCTCTGTATAAATAATATTAGTTGTGATGATTGTGAATATCTATAAAAACACTTCAAATACAACTGTGTTCCTTGATGTACGTATGTATGTATGTATATAAATAATTATCGCAGTGAACTGATTCCAACCAATTTAGATCATTGTCAGGAATTGACGGATATGTTTTACGACCTTCCAATTGAATTTAAAACGCAACTACACCACGTATTTAACGTACTATGTGGCAAATTTTATGAGGCCGAATTTTGAGTGTTATTTTATGAAACAACTATTTTCTATACATACCGGTACCGAATTAGAATGTCTGCGAAATGTATAAGCGTGGTCGATTTATTTTTTTACCTATTCGCTGATAGACTAAGAAGCTATTCTAGCTACGCCCGGACAGGTGAACTCACGGGCTCAACCTCAGAGAATTTGCTAACACTAGCCCTTTTTTTCCTACCTATGCTGATAGCCTTGAGAGGCTATTTCAACTTTGCCTTGACGTGAACTATCCCTAGCAAGAGCAATGCTTCGCTGAATCTAAAATACAGCTGATCAATTTTATGCAAACGGTTTGAATTTGATATGAATCTTATATCTTTAAACGAGCAATTCTTGTATATATGTAAATATATAATATAATCTTAATCACGAAAACGGCTCCAACGATTTTCATAAAATTTTGTATACAGGGGATTTCGAGATTTTCAGAAAATGTTGTTTCATTCGTGTTTTCAATAATCAACTTTATCGACAAATTTTATTTTTTTCTTTAAATAACCAGTTCATAATTTTTTTATTATTCTGCATTCGGTAAGATCGAAAAATGTTATTAATATTTCATCATTTTATCAATGTGTAATTCGTATTTAAATAGAATTACCAAAAAACATAATTAAAAAAAAAACTCATTCAGGTCATTCAGGTACTTAATACAAAACATACCGTTCATTAAGTTAGTACTTACTTGCCGGTGATTGAGGGCATAGGTGCTAGTGCCAGGTGCGCTTTCAAGAACGCCAGTCGCTGTCTCAACGCCGCGTTGTTGGCGGTCGCGGCCGAACCTCCATTGGTGTAGCACGCGAATGCATCACGAGGCATCTGACAGCTCTCATAGAGACTCCCTAAGTTCGTCCACGCCGCCGAATGTCCCTTGTCAAGCTGCACGGCACATATGTACGCTTGGAGCGCGTCCATTGGCTGATTCTGTTGCTGGTATAGGACACTGCAGGATAAAAATATTTTTTTTGCCCAATTTTAAATTAAACTAAGCTTCGAACCATTTTCAAGTAACATTTTAGACTAGCCGCTTCGCTGGGCATTTAAAATTAACATTATTATTTATTGTCATTATTATTAGGGAATCCAACACTCATATAAATATTAGCCTATCCATTAAGAACATGTATTTTAATACGCTTTTATTAGCTTCAGACGTATGTATGTAATGGAATCTTTGAACATGATTTTGAACCCCTTCAAAACGTCGGATTAACTCGAAATTTGGTATACATACTTATTAAGGACCGATGACAATTCAATATTTAAAATAAAAATTGACAAAAATGAAATTCAGCTAAAGAATTCAATGTAAATAATAGTTTAAAAAAACTAACAAAATACGCTTTTATAGAAAATCCCAACTAAAAAATAGAAAATAAATTTTAATAAATTTGAATTAAAAATAGTGTAATACAAAACGATTTTATTGTAAAAAAAAAGCGTGGGATGCATGGTATCAGTAGGTATCAATATTTTATGAACAGATATGAGTAGAAGGGTTATTTTGATAATATCCTGAAAAGCACCCCACGCTATTTTCTATTTTTTAGTTGGATTTTCTATAATAGCGTATTTTGTTCGTTTTATTAAACTATTATTTATTTAAGTTATATTTTAGATTACGATCCAAATTACCCGATCGAGCACCAAGTATCGGCGTTCCCTTCCGACTTCTCGACAGAGTTCCTGTACGCGATGAAGGCGTCGTGGACTTTGCCTTGAGCAGCGAAACACCTCCCTAAAAGGTATAGGCCCGCACCAGACTCCGGCTCGGCGGCTACGGCTCGTTGGAGACACCATATAGCCGCACGTGCCCTCGCTGCGGGCTCGCCCAGAGACACGCATCGATGGTACAACCACCCTGGACACACGGAAATTTATGTTCCTTGCAACGCGTACCAACGTTCATTAGTTAGCTAATTGTGTGTCGCTTTTACGACCGCTTTAAATAAATTACCTAAATGTAGCTAAATTCATGGTAGCTCTATTTATATTGGTAAACCGCGCTTGTATTTACGTCTTATTTGATTTAGTCCAGCATTGGCTGCAACTTAATAACACAAAATATTCTTTAGAACTAAATGTATTATTTACTGGTGGTAGGACCTCTTGTGAGTCCGCGCGGGTAGGTACCACCGCCCTGCCTATTTCTGCCGTGAAGCAGTAATGCGTTTCGGTTTGAAGGGTGGGGCAGCCGTTGTAACTATACTGAAACCTTAGAACTTATATCTCAAGGTGGGTGGCGCATTTACGTTGTAGATGTCTATGGACTCCAGTAACCACTTAACACCGGGTGGGCTGTGAGCTCATCCACCCAACTAAGCAATATTTTTTTTAAATTTACCTCTTATTTGTTGATTAGTGTTATTGAGCTTTCGCGAAGAATGGGGTCCATTTCATCCATTCATCCATCGTTCTTTAGAACTAATTTATTATCGAATCTCTAGTTAACTTCTACGACAACTGCGCTTGATACCGTAGCCTTTTTTAATAATATGTTTAATGTACACAAACATCTCTTAGTTTCATTAATAATAGTAGTACAGTTGTAAATGATGTATATAACTACATGTCGGTGGTTACTCTCAAACAAAGAACACTTCATTATCATTGAACGAAAAACCTGTTTAAAAATACTCAGAAGGTTCCAACCCTTTGTTTCGTTTTGTTTTTAAATTACGTAAATATTGCGTCGAAATATTTAAAGACTCGCGTGAATATATCAAGAATCAGACCGATAAACTTCTACCTTGTATTGCTTCCCTTGCCCGGACGCGGCGTACTATTGTATGATCGTTACAATTGTTCTGATCTTTAGTGAAAGTACCGATAGCATTTTATTTCTAAACAGCGAGAAACCCTTGAACTTCACTTGAAGAATTTAAAGACGTTACGTTATTTTGTTTTTACGTAATTAAACTAATGTAATCAATGTAAACACTAAGATAATTTTTATAACCTATTGAGATAAGAGAGTTTCGGCAACATTAAATTAGTTGACTTTTTTTTCCTACCTATGCTGATAGCCTTTAAAGGCTATTTCAGCTTCACCCTAACGTATGGGTGAGCTCACGGGCCTTTAACCAGGAGTGTTTCTATCACTGGCCCTAGCAAGAGCAGTGCTTCGCACTGGTGGTGGTGGTAGGACCTCTTGTGAGTCCGCGCGGGTAGGTACCACCGCCCTGCCTATTTCTGCCGTGAAGCAGTAATGCGTTTCGGTTTGAAGGGTGGGGCAGCCGTTCGTCCACCCAACCAAGCAATAAAAAAAATAGAATATACCACCGGATCGGAAACGCGACCCACTGAGAAGATCCGGCGAGAAACTCAAGTGGGCTATAGCTGACATTACTTACCCAATTGTCTGCAGACATCAGCTTTGAGTGTCGACGAGAGTTTCGGTTCTTCGAGGAGGCGTTCGTAGGCGTCCCTGGCGGCCTTCCTCAAGCCCCGCGCCTCCAGCAGGTGGGCGGCGTGGAAGCTGAGCTCGAGGCGGGTGAAGGTGGCGTCTTGGTGCGGAGCGAGGCGAGCCCTCCTGAAGTGAACCGCCGCGGCGGCCCAGTGCCGGCGCGCTTTGAACATGAGCGCCAGCCGAAGGTGCGCGTCCGCGGCCCGAGAGAACCCCGGCGACACGTACAGAGCCATTTGCAACGCCTTTGTCGCCCTGTTGGTAAAAACCGTCTCCGAACATCCGCCACGTACACATTTTTATCGGTCGACCTATTGTTTGCCGCTTGTACTTGGAACTGCTGCCCGTAAATAGACTAAAATTTACGGAAACATAAATTTTGAAAAGTGTTTTTTTACTATGTTTTATTGATAGGCATCGAAACAATGCCGAAAATCGTAAAACGAACTTGACTCTTTACAAGGTCGAAGACGTCGTAAATAATAGTGAAATTAGAATACAGCTCTCTGCAACATAACTGTGCTGCAAACAAAACAAAAACAATGTCTGCCGAAACAAAAGCGACCTCACGCAAAAACTATGGTATTTATTCTTTTCGTGTATTTGGAATCGAGCCCAATGTTTGTCAATCTTTTTTTCAAGAAGTATTCCTTTCAATTATTTTTATTGTTGCATTCTTTTCCATTACACTGAGTTTTTTTTTAAACTCCGCCATTTACAAGAGGCGTTCAGAGATTTTTAAATTGTTAACAATCACCGAGACGCTTTAATTTGAAAAGGAATTTAGACGATGTTTCAGTTAAAATAAAAATAAAAAAAAAAACAAAAAAAAGACAAATAAGACGTCTAAGTTAACGATTCCGAGAATGCGGCGACGTCAAGGTGAATCGGTTGAAGTTACAAAAGATTGATCCATAACGTAAGGTTATTGAGGAGCGCATCACCGGAGCGTAACGTCACCGATGCTCCACGGGGTCGATGACCGTCTGAAGCTCGTACATGCAATCGATCGGACGATGCAAACATAAACGTCTAGACAGCGATCGCACTCCNGTCTAAGGTAAACGATTCCGAGAATGCGGCGACGTCAAGGTGAATCGGTTGAAGTTACAAAAGATTGATCCATAACGTAAGGTTATTGAGGAGCGCATCACCGGAGCGTAACGTCACCGATGCTCCACGGGGTCGATGACCGTCTGAAGCTCGTACATGCAATCGATCGGACGATGCAAACATAAACGTCTAGACAGCGATCGCACTCCGAAACCGAAGCCTAAAACGCCTTTATTTAGATGACCTCTGTTGACATTTGCAAGCCGAAACAAAGGAACGAAACAGGTGCTGACCGACGGCACTCGCAACACAGACCGACGCAACTAAAATTAAAACGACGATTTACGCACACAAAAACACTCGCATCAACGTGATGAGACGGTATATAGCTTTCACCTTGCCATCGGCGTCAGTACTCTGAATATATGTATAATTAAACTACTAAAATAATATTCTATTCGTGTTTCTAGCTAGGTTATCGACTGCCGCTTAACATGCCATGCGACCTCAAGATCTATTCATGTTAAAGAAATTATTACTTTTTGCAATCATGTTTTTTATTACTACGAGTATTAATGTGATTTATTTCTAAACGTCAAATGATAATAAAGGATCTTAAATATTGAGAAATTAACAAAATAGCGCGACCGAAGCGCTAATAAAGATTCTGATAGTAGGTCCGCTATGGGTAGGGCGAGGTGCGTTTTCGAACGATAACGTAATGGGCGATGTGATATCAGCGACTGGCTTCATGGTTCACAACTTCACACCCACGTCCAACGATAACGCAATATAAATGTTATTCATATCAGCAAATAAACTTCATTGCAACATTTCAGTAAAGTATAAATAAACACGTATATATTAATATAGGACATTCAATCGGGATTAAAATAATATAATGCAAACTAACTTTTGCGCACGACTCCGTCCGCGTGGAATAGTTACTTTGGCATAACGCTAAGTTTTACCCCCCACTTCATTTACGTAGAAAGAAAATATTTTTTAATTATAGAATGCTAAGGAGCTGTTTAAAACCCGATTTTGAAACATTATTTATTGGTGCTCTTATCTTAGCGTGATGTTATATAGCCTATAAGCCTTACTCAATAAATGGACTATCTAACACTGAATTTTTTAAATCGAACCAGTAGTTCCTGATATTAGCGCGTTCAAACAAACAAACTCTTCAGCTTTATAATATTATAGTACTTATAGATAGAAAAACAGTTTTGAAAATAAATCAGTTTCTCTAATTACGATAAATTCCTTTACGCTGTATGTAATGATGATGAAAATATATTGCAATGTAATTTTATGAGAATCAATTAAATCCTCTAACGGCTAACCATTACGGGCGATCGTTGCAGAATTCAGAAATCTAAATATCCAGAAATCGAGACGGGATCAATTATAATCCGGTTTGCTACCTGCTTGAACCCAACCTTGAGCATTATCAGTTCACGCAGGTAAGAGCTTTATGAATACGGAGGGATCCCTATTTGAACAAACGAAAAATACTCGGGTTATTCATATTCAAAATTGTTGGGACCGAACTGGGACCGAACATCTGGCTTGCCGCTTGTCAGACATCAAACGCGTGAGCTGCAGTAATTCAGTTATTGAACGAAATTTTAGAGACGTTTTGTAAGGTAGAACGTACTCGGCAGATGTTGACAGGAAGTCTGCGGTTTTTGTGAGCAGAGATCTACTTTAAAATAAAATAAAAAAGATCCAATTCAAAAATAATATGCGGATACTATTTTAGAGTATCGAGAAATAGCAAACATCTGACGCAGAGACGCACACTTTTGTACGCAATAACAAAAACCATAGCTGTAGTGTCTAAGCTAAATATTCAAGGACTTTTAAATATTCATTCATTAGTCTTCTATTTAAATAGCATTCGTCGCCATAGCAACATATTATTAGCTTTACATAACTTTAAAATTATTATGTTACTCACTGTGCTTAGTGGCACGTGATATACGGAGCAATTTTCTACACTCACATAGTAAACTCTCGACTTTCCCACGAAATGACTGACCAATGGGAACGTATAAATTCATTTAAATGATAAAGCATTTTTATTAACATTTAAAAGGGAATAAAATTGTGATTCGGTGTAGCGTTGTCTCTGGAAATCAGGTCAAAGTCGAACTATATTCTCCTCCTAGTCCTAGATCCATATTGCCGGATGTGACCTATTTTTAACAGCTGTTGTTTTCTAGGTCGTATCTCCGTTAATAGATACAAAATGATCGATAATCATCTATATATATTAGATATAAAAATGAAAATTAATTGCTTTCGTTAGTCTCGCTAAAACTCGAGAATGGCTGGACCGTAGATAAATATGAAAATGATCGGAATTAAATAAAAATAACAATTTTGTTTTTCCTTTGATGTGTCCCCCGTCGGACGAATTCCTTTTGTTTGTTTTAAGCTTATTTTATACAAAAGTTTAGGTCTGTTATTTATCGATTGAGGCACTACGAAGTCTGCCAGACCAGCTAGTTACTTAATATAAAGAAGCACGCATAAATATTACTTCGTTTTGTTTTCGGTACATAGTTGCGGACCTAGTTGCGCTCGTGACCGCGTGACGCGATCATGCGAGGCGACGGCAGCCTATAATTTACGTGGCTATATTGCATCACGGCCTTGGCCACACGGTAACTGAGTGCAAAACTAACTGCAACTGACTGCATCGCAAGCGAATATCGAAACCATCGATCCGTACAACGCAGTCTGCATACAACCATCGATGTGTGTTTATTTTCCAGTTTGTTTTCTTTTCCCTAAGCGACCGGATATCGCGATTCGTGTTCGCAATCAAACACCACACTAGGAACAAAAGCGGGGTACTTCAAAATTGATAATGAACGAGGGCTCTTTTATCGCTGGCGTCATACTAGTTGACCTACTTTCGTTCTAGTCGATACTACTTATAGAGTAACCTACACGCGAATGATCTCATGAACGCAATATTTATGATATGCGTTGTGTATTTTCAGTATATAACTGTTTAGAATGAAGCGATCGTAAGTTAGATGCATTTTTTTATGTTACTCAAAAGCCCCTTCAGTTATGTAGTGTTTTAATTTAAAGACGTTCATTACACGATTAAATACTTTATCAATCATGTAATGTATTTGAGGTCGCCAATAAAAGAATCGAGAAACTTCCAATTGTATAATCATGCCTACGTCTATTCAATGAGTTTGTAATGAAAATTTGAATAATATTATATAATATTATTCTCTTCAATTAACAGATTAACCATGCAAATGAAGAGCCAAAACATAATTGGTTTGTGTTCATTCATTTGCGTAATTAAACCTATTGATTAGTATGACGAGATCCGATATTATGATTCGATATTCCTACACAAATGAATTTTTACCATTGAATTGTGAAGTATATTTATGAATTTTGGGGTTTTAGTTTGACGGTGATTTAAAACGCTAATCTATTGATCAATAAGACTGACTACTGCACTATGGATCTGTATTCAGCTCCTGTCGAAGCCAGTATCTTTGTTGAGGATTCATATTATATACATATTTGATATTCCATGTTTCTGATATTTATAACTCTAGAGAATATCCTGGCATGAGGCTATTGAGTGTGGAACGTTTAAACATAGCGAACACCAGCTATTTCTGCCGTGAAGCAGTAATGCGTTTCGGTTTTGAAGAGCGGGGCAGCCGTTGTGACTGAGACCTTAGAACTCATATCTCAAGGTGGTTGGCGGCATTTACGTTGTAGATCACTTAACACCAGATGGGCTGTAAGCTCGTCCATCCATATATGCAATAAATAAATAAATTAATTACATGACCACTGAATAAATAATTATATGGACTCGAAGAGCCAAGGTCAAGATACATTATTATAATCCCATGCTATGTAATCTTAATCACTATAAAATAGTTCAAGAATATTCAATGTAATTGATAATATTTTGTAGTCAAGGCGACCGTTATCGGTACTACCTACATACAATGGCTGAAAACAATGTTATTATTACCAGTACTAATGGTAGCGCTAATTCATAATCTGTTAACTTTAAGACATATTTAGCTACTAAACGAATCGGCTACTCGGATTTTAGCCTAAAGTACCACGAACTAGATCTTTCAGAGGAAAGATTCAATAAATTTAATTACTTATTTTCCAAAGTTGCGTCAGATTTCAAT